AGGCACCGTGAACATTTCCTCGCTTGACTTTACGGCATTGAGGACTCTTTTTGCTCCTAATCTAGCCTCTTCGGGCTTCTCCCGCCCCTCTTAGACTACGGTGGTAGCATTGAGAGCTTTCTTCTTCGGACAATCCCTAACAAAGTGTGGTCCTCCACACGTGAAATAACTCCGGTCCTTCGCACCGGTCTCGGGTGCTCTCTCCCGACCCTTAAAGAAGGGTTTGTTCATCGGCTTGTAGGGCTTCACTCCCCCCTTTGTCCTTGCCCACCTTCTTGGGCACGAAGTCCCGTCGAATTTCCAAAAGATTCTCGGCCGCCGATATGGCTTCTTATAATGTTTGGACCTTTTGGCGCCTCAACTCAATCGCCGCCCATGTTTGTAACCCCTCCATGAAGTTAAAAAAACGATCTTTCTCGATCATCTCGGGGAGTTCGAGCATCAACGATGTGTATTCATTAATGTACTCCCTAACGCTCCTCGTATGTTTAAGATCGCGCAACTTCTTCTTGGCCAATTCTTCGGCATTTTTTGGGTAGAATTGATCCTTCAAATCGGACTTGAATTCTTCCCACGTATCGATTCGGGCTACCCCTCAGGTAATGTCATTGTGGCGCCTCCTCTACCACAAACCCGCATAATCCGACAAGTACAAGACCGCCGTCTTGATTTTGTCCTCGTCATCGCGTATTCTTTTTGCATCCATATAATTCTCGATGGACCAAAAAAAATTATCAATTTCCTTAGTAATATGCTTACCCGAATACTTCGGAGGTTCCGAAGTTCTAACCCGCGAACCTTTCCGCAGCTTGGTGCCGCCTCCCTCCAAGGCCGCCTTGAACAAGGCTCGATCCTTCTCGAGGCGTTCCAACTTCAAAGCCGTATGTTCCCGCAACTCGCCCAATTCCACCGCAGTCATGGTTTTGAATACCACCCTCAATTCGTTAAGGGGCATCGTCATGGTACCCTTCAACGCATTGATAGATTCCAACATGAAACTCCTCAACTCGTGGAGTCCCACCAAGGCGTTGTTCTCGACTTCACCCATGTTCGTCTCCAGGGTGTCCAACCGCTCCAAGGACTCCCCCACGGCAAGCTCCAGCTTGACCGCCCGTGTCTCCAACTTCACAATGAATTCCCGAGACCTACTCCATCTCTCTTTGCGTCCATCCAAGCCAGCAGCATTTCCGTCCGACACGTTCCCGTCGTGTTCTCCCGACATTCCCACCGCTTGTCAAGATCGTTGCTCTGATACCACGTGTCACGGGTTAACTTTCTTCACTCGAAGTAACCGTGCGCCCCTTAGCAACTCACTCCTGTCGGCTACAAAGGCAAGCTTCCCAACTCGGCCAAGCACCACAAAAGCCAAAGGCTTTCTAGAGAGAGAACTAGAAAGAGAAAGTGTGGAGAAAAATGTTTTTGATTGCTAAGACTTGGATGATTTACAAATGAGGCGCAAACACCTATTTATACAAGCCAAATGAGTAAATGCTATTTCCCCAACTACCGAATTAATGTCATCTACCAACAATCAACCATCAACCCCCAACTACCTTATTAATGCCAAGTTCTACCACCTTCCGAAACCTTCTAAAAGATGCTAGTGAGTTTGAGTGAAGTGTTTGACATAATGAAAAAGTGCTAAGTGTAGAAAAACCACCGCCATGTGACCGCTCAAAAGTCCGACCGTGACACTTGGCTCACCTTGCGGGACATCTAATTTGACATGGTCGTACTTTTACTATTCATAAAAATATCGAATTCAAATATATTTTTTGATTTTTTATTATTCAAAAAATAATATTCTCCTAAAAAATATCAAATTAAATGTCTAATTTTTATTTATTATTGAAATTTATTTTTTTATTCACAACATCATATTAACACATTTATATTACTCAAATAATTATTTTAATTAAAAAGTTTACTGTGCGAAACTCAAGTCCAAAATTCAAAACCCACAACCAAACATACTAGGCACCATTAGTAGTCTATTACTCACTCCGTCTCGAAAGTATAATTGCTATCATTTCCGTGCGTCTATTCAAAAATATTTATTTTCTATTATAATAAAATTAATCACACAAATTCTAGCAAATACTAAAATATTTTTAATTTTTACACAAATAATAAAATATCTTTAACTTTTACGCAACATACAAATATATTATTATATATATAATTAATTTATAAAGAAAAGCACGAAAGCAAAACTGACAAAATTATCTTACACATTTTTATTAACTAATAAAATACTATTACTTTTAAGGGTAAACTGTTTTTTTAGTCTCATAACTGACCCCTTATCATTTTAGTCCCGTAAGTGGAGCATGTCGCAAAGTAGTCCCATAAGTGAAAAATTTTCGCTGTTTTAGTCCTCCGGCGCCGGAGACGCCCGCGTGGCTCCCCTGAGGTGACGTGTCCCGCCAGATCAGCGACATTTGGCGGACACGTGGATTTATTTTTTTTCAATTTTTTTTTTTTTTTTAAAATTAAATCAAATTAAAAAATTAAAAATAAGTTTTTAAAAATAATAAAAAAAAATCCACGTGTCCGCTAGGTCAGCGCCATGTGTCGCTGACCTGGCGGACACGTCACCTCCGGCGAGCCACGCGGGCGTCTCCGGCGCTGGAGGACTAAAACAACGAGAATTTTTCACTTATGGGATTAATTTGCGACACGCTCCACTTACGAGACTAAAATGATGAGGGGGTCCAGTTATGGGACTAAAAAACAGTTTACCCTACTTTTAAATTTATTATAAAAACGTAATTAAATATGTTTAAGTAGGATGGATGGATATTATACATATTGTGTAAGAATATATGACCAAAATACACTGCAAATTACAATAAATAGACAGTAACATAAGATTATAGTATGTTGTTACCAGGAGATCACATCTCCTAAATTAAAAATAATTAAATAAATATATAAAATTGAAAGATCAATGGTAGATAAGGACAATATTATACACTATTGAAAAAGCTATTATTAATTGATAATTAATTATAATGTATTTTGAGCGAAAAATATACTTTATTCGCATCGGAACAGATGGTCTATTTGTTCCGAATACGATTATTTAAATAGTTTAAATTAATAAATTATTTTATATTTTTTTATACGAGTAATGTTGTTGACAAAAAAATATAAATTAATATATATAATTAAAAAAATTAAAATATAATTTAAATATTTTTAGATTATATTTCAATAAAATATATAATTGTAATAATATATTTATAATTTAATTAAAAATTGAAGGTATTTTAATTTTAGATGTAAAATTACTTTTTCTAAAATATAGAAAAATAATATTTTGATATGAAATAAATGAAATAGTAAATTTTAAACTAGGACAGAAATGAGTGTACACTATAAATATCATTTTATACATAATAAAATTTTGTAAAATACAAATAAAAAAAATAGTATATTTATTTATAATCAACTTAAACTAATTTTATAAATAATGAAAAATTTAAAACCTATATAATACTATTCATTTATTAAAAATGAGATAAAAATAATTTTTTTTTTGACTAAATACGGAATTAAGAATTTAATTAAATTAATTTATATTTTAAACATATTTATATTTACGATGAATAAATTTATTAAAAATAAAAAAAAAAGTTATATGGGGTGGGATATAGCGTATAATTTTAGTCTTTATACTCATCTTAGTCATAATTATAATAATAAAAAAAAAGACTGAAGGGTGTGTTTTTCATTTTGATCAACCCATAACAAAATATATATATATATATTTTTTTAATAATTGTACTATATATCTAATTGTAAATATCCTTACAATTTACAATATATTACTCAATGTATTCCAATATAATACTAATAATTCAGTCTTTTTACTTTTATTTCACTGTATTCTAATATAATACTAATAATTCTAAAACTTCGTGAAAAAAAAAAAAATAGATAGATAAATATGAGTGAAAAAAATATTATTTACTCCCAGTGGCGGAAAAATATTATTAGAGGGGGGGAGGGGGGCAAAATTTTTAAATTTACAAAATAAATTTTTTATTTGTAAACTAATAATACTACCGTCCACTTAATAAGCTTATATTTACTTTTTCATACTAATGTTAAATATTAATTATTACATCAAATATAGTCCAAATTAAAAAAAAAAAACAACCTTTTTTATTAGTAAATATTGATATATTATATTTTGGAAAAAAAACTAATGCACTTTCTTATTAAAATTTTTTTATTTATTTTAAATATTTTCTATAAATTATATATATATATTATTCTTTTAAATATAAAAAAATTTAATAAAATAGGGTAAAAGTAAAATTGAGATGGAGCAGCTTAATAGGCCCGCCACTGCTTGCTCCCACAGTTTTCAAACAAAATACAACATTTTTTCTTACAAAATATCACATAAAAAATTCTATCTAAACAAAATTTAAATTTTTTTTTAAAAAATGAACAAAATACAAGTTTTTGAGTGTGTTTGTTTGGAGATTGGATTGGATTTACGCTATTCGTCTAATTTTTCTTCCCCAAAAACGTCAAATCAAACCCCTATTTTTCATTTTTTATATTATACTAAAAATCAATTTTACATTCAAAACATCACATCAACACCTATTTATATCACATCATACAACTATTCAAATTCAAAATTTTTACTATTCAAATCCCAACTCAAAATCCAAACCCCCAACCAAAACGAACCGATAACAACAGCAGCAGGGTATATGACATGAAGCAAAAATAAATATGTAGTTGTGAATGGGCAAAATGTGTCTAAAACAGACACTCATTAATAAAGCCTTCAGAGCATAGCGTTTCAAAGCATCATCAAAACAGAGGAAGAAGACCTACTTACTGCCTTTATTAAACTCTTACAAAGAAAGAAGCTGCAATAAGACATCTATTTCTTCGAGTGCGCGCAAAAACCACAGGATGGTTGATCTCCTTCATCCCAGAATCAGTCAGCCCTCATGCTGATCATAGACAGATAATAATGCTAAATGTGTCGAATGGATCGCAAGGTGGAAGAAAGAATCATATATTGTACAAAAACACTCATACAAGGATGCTCCGAGACAAATACAAGCAAGGATTAACCCAAAAGGGCCTATGCTTGCAAGTGTAACATTCATTAAATTCATTCTTGGTTTTGTTTTTCTAACATATTCGAACAGACAAATTTAAGCCATAGTTGTCAATATGGCACATCTTCTAATTCAATCCTGCACAAGACTGATTCGATATGAGCCCATAACTTGGGTCTCGTAACTAGATTTCTACTATTCTCTAAAAAATTTCACCCAAAAGGCATAAAATCAAACATATTTTTCATTTTCTATGTTATATTAAAAATCAATTTTACATTCAAAACATTACATCATCGCCGATTCAAAATTTTTACTATTAAAATCCCAACAAAAAATCCAAACCCCCAAACAAAAAACACACCCTTACAATCTTCCACGATGAAAGGGGAGTTCTTAACTCTAAAATTCCTTCCTACGGGCCACAATTACCATGGCCGAGTAACCACTTTTCTACATTAAGCAATGGATGGCAAGCAGTTCGTGGACCATGACCTACAATCACCAGTCCATTTGGACTCGCTCACTCGGTAAGCCCCAATACCTCAGCTCGATGCCTAGTTAAGCCACTACCAGATCTTCGTCTATCCAGCAACCAAAGCATGATCCTTCTCTCCCTCATTTCATAACAACGTTGCTTAATGAACAATATATTATGTGACCAAAATCATAATTTTCACTGTTCCCATTACATCCCTTTGCATTCTTTACACTCTTCCCTCAAAGGCTTCCCCGGCCAGTTTGCAAAGATCAAATCTATACCAGTGCTTCTCTGATTTTTTTTATTTTTTTTATTTTTTCACTTTTAGAACTATACAGCACTGCTGCAAGTACAAACAATCAACTACAGATTATAAGAACCCTATTTTCATGTAAATTGAGGGTACTATAGATATTTATACATGTATATATCGAATTTTATCAATCTGTAGGGTCATAATAGCTATCCCCAAATTTGACCTAGCTGAGACACACAACCAAATCCAGAAGAAAGTTTAGCCTCGGGCATAATAGTATGTTAGAAATTACACATCCACACAAATCGATCGCACTAATTTCTTCCAAAACTTACATAATTTTGAACGAAGGAAAACAAAAATGACCTGAAACGAAAACAAAAATTGGGGAATATAAGCAAAATTTCAACGCACCTGAGATGAAGTTGAGCTGCTGGAAACGACGGATTCCATATTGGACACCCGAGCATCCAACGCATTGAACTTGTCCATCAACTGCGATTTCAACAACATTCAGCGATTTAAAATTGATGGAAAAGAAGGAGCGCGTCTGATAAAATCCATCAAAAACGGGAAGGGGTTTCGGCGAAAACCGTACCTCTCGAGAGCGGGAATTGCGATCGGCCCAAAGATCTCTGCAAACAAATTGGGCAATAGCTCCAGAGGCGGAGGCGAAACCAAGAGTGAACCACAGCAACCTCGTTCGAATCATGCTTTCACTTCCTCCTTCGTTTTGTGTTTTGTTGTGCGGGTCGGTGTTTTGTTGGAGCTACATACCCATACGTATGCGTTCTTTTACATCAACTGCGTTTTTTTTAAAAGATACTTCCTCTTCCTCCTCCTCATATATTTTGGTTATAAGTAAAAGTAATTATTATTTAATAAAAATAATTATATATTAAAATTAAAATAGATAAATATTTTAATCAAAATAAAAGAATTATAAAATTTAAAATAAAATTAAAATATATAAATTTTGGTTATAAATACAAATAATTATTATTTAGTAAAAATAATTATATATTAAAATTAAAATAAATAAATATTTTAATCAAAATAAAAGAATTATAAAATTTAAAATACGATTAAAATAGATAATCATATTTTTTTTAAAAAAAAAGAGATAAATTATATGAGACGAAAAAAATAATAAATAGGAATAAATTATGTGGGACGGAGAGAATAATATTTTTTTATATCAACAAAATTAAAAACTATCCAAATTTAAAGTTTAAATTTAATATAAATTATCTATAAATACATTTAAATTTCATTAATTAATTTTCTATCTTTTCATATTCAATTAAACTAAATGACTAGTGAAAATTATAATATTTTCAATTAGTGCTTAAATTAAATTGTTGAACTCGATTTGACCATAAAAATAATAATTCAAGTTATATTGTTAATATATTTATTTTATAACGTTTATATTATATTACGATTCTTTTTATATTATTTTTAATTAATATATACATTGGTTTATTTTGAATAATTTCAATTATTAAAAGTTATATAGGTTAATATTTTAAACATTAAAATATAATATTATATAAAAATATTATTATATAATAAAAATATATAAGAATATGTACAAATAAATAAAGAAAGTAGATACTTTAGTCCTGTACCGTCTTTATTCCAATTCAAAATATTATTTTTATTATTTTTGTCTATTCCACTTTAAAGTATTTTTTTTTCATATTTTTGGAAAAAATAATCATACATTAATACTAAAATACCTTTTAATTTTTATTTAAATTACTCTATACTCCATTTGTCATCTAATTGTGTGATCATTTGATCGGGCACGAGTTTTAAGAAAAATTAATAAAAATAAAAAAAAATTATTATTTTTTTTTATTTTTTATTTTTTTATAAAAAGTAGTATATTTTTACTAAAAAAAATAAAAATAAATTTTAATGACAACCAAATAAAAAAAATGAGAATATATTTGGATGATGGGGGAGTACATAAAATCAAATGACAAAAATACTTAAAACTCTTACACACTCTCACTAACTAATAAAATACTATTCATTACGTCCCTTAACAATCTATCAAATTTTTTCATTTTGGTCGGTCCCATAACAAACTATCTATTTCATTTTTTTTAGTAATTGTATTATCTACCTAACGTTACAAATATCCTTTCAATTTACAATATATTACACATCATTACTTTTATATCATATAATACTAATAAGATTAGTTTAGTCATTTTACTTTTATTTCTATTACATCCCAATATAATACTAATATTTTTAAAACTCTATGAAAAAAATAAATGAATAAATAAATATGAGACGAATGGAGTATTAATTATTTTTTATTTTTCTACCAAATCCAAAAAATCTTTGATTTGAGACGGAAGAAATATTTGTTTTCTCAAATTTTGTTTAAAAAGATTTGATTTTGATTTTATATTTAAATTTGATAAGATTTCCTGTATAACAAAAATATATATAATCCAAATATTAAATTTTGGAAAAATAATGTTAAAAAACACAACTTCTGCCTATATATCTAAGAGGGAGGGCATCATTGTTCCGTAAGGGATGGTCGAGTAGTGTGGGATTTAGATGTATGACCGTGAGGTCATGAGTTTAAACCTCCGACGCCGCAGGACACCTGCCACACATGGTTTGCTTGTTCCAATGGCTGGCGATTCTTCCTCGCCATCTGTTCTAATCGAGGGACTTCCCAACGACATTGCAGAACTTATATTGGGGAAGCTTTCACAGCCGATCGAGTTCGCTTGAGAACCGTTTCAAAATCATGGAACGCCGCCGACAACCTACGAGCCGCCATGGAAGATCTTGTCCAAATTCGAAGCTGCAGGAGACACCAATAGTACCGGTGGAAGGCCAGCGGTGCTGCTGCGGATCTTCCCGGGGCTGGATCGTCGTTGGCGCCGTAGTCGTGAAAGCGGAGATGTTTCTGTGGAATCCGTTGACCGGAGAGGTTCGGAAGCTCCCTCCCCTATCGACGTACCAAATTTTTGAGGCCATAGTCGACGGCGGCAGTTATTCTCGCCTCTCCGGTGAGTATTCGCTGGAGGCAGTTACTCGTCTGCACAACGCATTGCCGGCGGTGGACGGGCATGCAGGCTATGGGCAACCAAGATGAAAGATTGACGGACATGTTGTTTCGCAGAGGGAGTTTTTTGTCTACTACAAACAGGCGAACCAAACCTGCGGCGACAGAGTCATCGGACATAGCGGCTGCGCCATCGACCTGGTTTACGGCAACGGCAGCGTGACAGTGGAGGATGTGACCATGGAGTATGGTCTTCAACCGAACCGCCCGCGCCGTCCGCTCGGTTTTGGCTACTCATTATAAAGATCATACAAAATCTTATTGATCTCACCCATGTAAATTGAAGCTTCATCATCACCGTAAATTATTGGAAAAGCAAAATCAATAAGCTCAATTTTATATCTTGGATCTAAAATAGCACCCAAAGATATTAACACATTACTCTCTCCCCAATATTTGTCAAATTTCTCTTCCATTCCATAGACCTCATATGAGAAGAATGACGTGTGATTTCTCATTAAGAAGCTCTTTAATCCAGTACAACTCAGGGATGAAAATATTAGCCGTTGTATATTCAGATCCAGAAATCATATTTGTAATCTCATGAAAAACTCCTAAAAATTGGCAAATATCTTCCATTTGGTTCAGCTCAAATTCAGTCGGCACATAAAGAAATCTAACATCTATATCAACATATCTAGAAAAGACATCTTTAAACTATAAAGCTGAAGCCAACATCATATAAGTATCATTCCATTGTGTTGGACAATCAAGAAATAACTTTTTCGGAGACAAAAAGAGTTGCTTTTTATCTTTCTAAATTCAATGAGACGCGCTTCAAAATTACACAGATATTTTATTCCATCCCAAACACAATGAACCACAGACTCAATCTCATTAAGACCATTTTGCACCAACAAATTCAGAATGTGTGCACAACAACGAACGTGAAATATCTTTCCCCCAATACTTAATTGTTTTTTCAACAACAAATCATCTTTCAATCTCTTCACACACTAATCATTGTAAAAAGCATTATCAACTGTAATACTAGATAATTTATTTTAAATTCTCAATCAATGAAACATCTATTACGTGCATCAACAATAATAACACCTGTATATGAGGGTGGAACATTACAAAAATTCAACACTTTCTTTTGTAATATCCAATTGTCATCCATAAAGTGTCCAGTCACCATCATATATTGAACCTTTTGGTTCGACTTCCACATGTTAGTTGTTAGACTAATTCTTGTAACAACCTTTAACATTGATTTCAATTTATTTTATTTTATTTTATTATTTTATTATTTTTTTTTCATATTCAAAAGTAGTCATGCAATCCTTCTTTACAGTATGTCTACTAATCTTTTGATAAAAATAGAGAAATAACTTTAAAAAACTTGTTGAAAATGACATACTCCACCATCAGAAAAGGATATTCATGAGCCAAAATCATATGGGATGCAAGTTTCCGTACCTTAGCATGTTCGTACCAATAATTGGTAATCGAAGTTATCCCTTCCAAATGAGATTCGGTAGTGAAAGAAAGAACCTGCTGTTCCGAAGGCAAGGATGTTTTAATGCAACTATTCAGATGATACTTGTAAGTAGTTGTCGTTCCTCCCGGATTTCTTGAGAAAATCCTTCATATGTTGCCACATATACGATATCTTAGCTTGACTTTTTTTGTTATAAGTCTCCTTATTTTCTTCCATGTTTTTTTCTTTATCCTTTTGATGACTATCAACAAGAATCTCCAAATCGACGTCCTCGTGCATTTCATCATCCTCACCTTCATCAATGGGAACTTGTTCAACAAGATGATCAACAGAATCCATGATAGGAACAACAGATGAACCTTCTTGGAATTGACTTTGAAATATAGCTACAATTACAAATAAGAAAAATATTAGAAAATCTTTATCTAAATTGAAAATTATGATGACCAAATTGAATATTATTGAAATAGATATAGGAATTTGCATATATAGTCATGATAATCAAATTGAATATTTATTTAAATATTTATATATGCATCTGTGAACCGTAATATATATTCATAAAGAAAGAAAAAGTCAGAACAGAGGTCGGCGGTTGAAGTGAATTTCAATATATATATATGTATGTTCATATGTATTCAGAATTTCAAAGAAAGGTAGAGCTTCTAAATCGATAAATAAATGTACCGTGAAAATAAATACAAATTTATCCGTTGGAGCTCGGATTGGAAGGAGGCGGGCTGCGGATGGTCAAAAGGTGGAAGAAGAGGCGGGCGAAGGCGGCGTGACTGTTGCACGGACTGGAGTACTGACGGGAGCTGGCGGCAGGACTGTGGGCTCGCAAACGCGACGACTGTCGACGACGGCAAACGGTGGAAGAAGACGGTGGCTGTGCACTGTGGAAGAAGACGGCGGCAACAATCTGATACTCGGACAAGTGAGACAGAGCGAGTGAGGATGAGAGTTTGAGAGAGGTAATAAATAAAGAACAGGAGCCGCGGGCTAAAGTTGGAGTTGTCTGTAGAAAATGAGTAAATTAGAGTTTGAAAATTTGAAAATAAAAAAATTAGAAATATATTAATTATAAATAATTAATACTTTAATATATTATTTTACTTTTAATATATATATGAATGATATTTTATGTATTAATCTAAGATTATTTTTTAATTGAAATTAAAATTTAAAATTATTGTTAATTTGAAATTATTTGTTTAATTGAAATTTAAAATTATTTTATTAATTTATTTTAAATCAATACTTTATTTATTTATAAATTATAATTTTTATATATAATAATATATTATTTTAACGAACATTTGCGAATAGGATTTGAGTTTGTTCCTGTTTATGTTGTTCGGTTTGATTTGTTAATGTTTGCAAACGAGCTTTAACCGAGCCGAACCAAACCGAGTTCACGAACGGCTCGATTCGAGTAACAGATCTACCTCCGCATGAACGTTTCAAATTGGAACTTCGTGCGCATTTATGTTGTCTTCTGGTTATGGGGTAAAGCATAAAGGTTATAGGCTTTGCGATCGGATTTCTAAATGGTTGTGTATATCTCGTCATGTTACTTTTTGGGAGAGTGCCATGTTTTCCACCGTGTTTAAATTTTATGTCCTATCTATTTCTGGTTCACCTTCCTTCTTGATGGCATGTCCTCCGTTGTTTCTTGATCCTGATCCTACGGCTTCATCACCGCCTCCATATGATCTCGTGTCATTTATTAATTATGGATGGTTTAAATAAAATAAAATAAATAAATGATAATATTAAGTAGAATTAGTCTAGTCAAATTAATAGTGGTTTAATACCACTTTATCGTAATCCCACGTTGATAGAACGTGGGATAATGATTTTAATGCAAAGGATTATGGTCCTCCCTCCGCCTATAAAAGGTCAAAACAGATCTATTCTATTACACACGAAAAATTTAAACTTATGCGTTCTGGCATTGAGGCTAGGAGGGAGAAACCAGATGATCCAACTCATCCTCTAAAAAAAAAAGATCCAACTCATCATCCAAATTAGAGCATCCAATTCATCATCTCAACCAGAGGATCCAACATGTCGTTCTGCGAGAGAGAATGGTTTCCAACCAAGGTCTGTATATATACGCATTTATATGATTTTGTGAGAATCATAAAGTTCAAGATCTTGTGAATTGAAATTGATTATTTATTACTTTAAACTTACACCGGATCCTTGTTCCAAATTGAGATCTTTGATTCATCTCCAATTAAGGCTTCTGATCCACTTTCAGTTGAGTTGAGACTTCTGATCCACCTCCGACCTAGTCTTCAGATGATGCTGATCCGTCTGCGGTCCCTGAACCTATCATATCTGGTCGATCATATCGAAGTATTGTTTTTATTTTTTTCTAAGTAATTTAAAATTATCTTAATTTGAATCAATTTTATCTAGCAAAACTACAGTCAAGTCAATTTGCAAGAATGGCGCCTCACCATCGGCCCGGCTAACAGGCAGTCGGTTGAACGGCAAGATGTATAGTACTTCTCTCAATACCTTAGGTTGGACTTCACAATACTCAAGTTCTTTTTGCCTTTGCTTTAAGTCTTCAATTAGTGACTACATCCAATACCCGATTCATAGTCGAATCGACACATGAAATATTTTGTTAATCGAATATTTTACAATTTTGTTATTGCCAATAAGTCTAACTTAAACGACAAATCAATCTGAGATGAAACAAAAGAGTTATACTAAAAAAAGTAGCCAAAGGTCTACTGTACAGTAACATGAGTTTCTTTTTAAAAAAATCACACATAAAATACTTTGTTCATTTCAAAAAATATTATCGTCAAATATCCACACTTGAATTATTTTCAAAAATTTTCAAGAAACTCTGTCTAAACGGCGACAACTCTAACAAAGCTATTCACGAACAAGCACTTGAAGAACATCATTTCCGAGGCTTCGTTGTTCTTCAAGAATAAGCTTCGCGGAATCTGCTGCCAAGAATGTAAACTCTAATGTAATAGACTCAAGTGTTGGAATCTCCCCGATTTCTATGGGAATCTCCCTTAAGAAACTACACTTAACAATTTTGAGGTGTTGAAGGCGCGGGAAATGCGTGTTGTCTGCTCTCCAATGCTTGAGATCTAAGTGATCCATCAGCAAGAACTTCAGCTGCAGAAATTCTCCTTCGATGGGTTCCCACTCGTCTCCATCAAATGCAAAAACACTGAGCTTAAGAACCTGCAAATTCAGAAGGGAACCAATTGTCGACATTTTATCCCATGAGAATCTGCAGCCAAGCAAAGATAACTTGTTAAGATTCCGCGGGAAGACAAAGGTATCCTCTAGGGAAGCACGGATTAGATCCGCGTCGACAAAAACTTCGAATTTAAGCTCCTCAAGACGGCGCAAATGAACTAAATTTCCGAGGCAATAATCCTCCAAGATCCCATTGGTTTTCCTACTTCGGATGATGAATTTTAATTTTCTTAGGTTGGGAATCATTCGAATGGCGTTGTTAGTGAATCTGAAATTCATTATTTTCTGAAGTGTTTGTAGATCTTCTAGTGTCGCCGCAGGCGGCGCCACCTGAAGTGGCGGCAGTGTTGCTGCCGGAGAAACTATAAAATGTCTCAGCCGCCGCAGCTGCCAAAATTCAGACGGCGATTTGATGATCGGGGAGTGAAAATATGAGCTACCGATAACCAAGATTTGGAGATTTTGAAGCTGAAATATATGTCGATGAAGATGGAAATCCTCGCGCCAGAGAGGTTGTAGAGTGATGTTCTTGAGATGAAACATTCGTGAAAATGCTTTAGGGGCGGAAGAAAGCCGATATCCATCTTCATCATATACATCGAATATTTTCAACAATCTAAGTCTAAGGCATTCCCAAACATAGGCATTCTTATTGTTGTAGAATCTGTTAGACCATAGAATTGTTCTAACATATTTACGCGCGCCGTGTGCCTCCCAAGGCTCGGAATAAGCGTAAGAATGTCGCAATTCATCCTCATGCCTTTTGAAACACTTTTCCCAATCTATTCCGTGAAAGAAACCTTTGTGTACGGCTCTTTCTCGACAGAAATCTCTCAAAACATCGTGCATTTTGCACTGCTTGAATCGCCCGTTCGCCCTATGTTTTGTGATAATAACAAGATTTCTTTTCACGAGATCCTCCACGCATTCCTCGGCTACTTCTTCTAAGGTTTGGAATTTTTTGACTAATTTCAAGAATCCCTCGGCAACCCATAACCTGATAAGCCTACGCACGTCGATTTCAAAGTCTTCCGGAAAACTTGCAATGTATAGAAAACAAGCTTTGAGCAAATGCGACAAGTTATTGTAGCTCAGAGTTAGTATATCGGACAAGTGTTTGTCGCCAGATTCGCTCAAAACAGAACCCACATTTCTCGCAACTTCTCTCCAATGTTGCAGTGTCCGGACACCAGAAAGGATACCTGCTATTACACAAATTGCAAGGGGAAGCCCCCGACATTTAATTGCTATAATCTTTCCAATCTCTTCCAATTCCATATTACAATGTTCTTGTCCGAACACCTTCATTCGAAGTAAATTCCAACTTGCATCCGCATCTAGAAACTTCATCTCGTGTATAAAATTAGATCCCCCGGCGTAATAGGCCACATCCGATAATCTACTCGTCAACAAAATGCGACTTCCATTACAAACATTTGGAAATGCATGCTTTACATCATCCCAAACTTTTGTACTCCAGACATCATCTATTACAACGAGGTATCTCCGACCAATTAAATGCTTGTATATCCTCTCCTTTAAGAAACCCTCGTCTCTTACACTCGATTCATCCATGTTAACATTCATCGATTTCAAAATGCTACTAAGAACTAGATTCAATCGAAAATCTTGCGAAGCAACAACCCATACACGACGATCAAAGTTATAAACCGATAACGGATCATCGAACGCAGCCCTCGCCAAAGTTGTCTTGCCAATTCCGCCCATTCCGACTATTGTAATGACTTGGAGTTGGGAAGAATGTCCGCAGAGATGATCCTTAATTGTTGTAAGATATTCATCGAATCCCATAATTGCATGGTCTCTTCGAAATGGGAGTGTAGAAACCCTAGAATTATTACACCGTTGATTCAGCTGCGAATCTTCACTTTCTAGATTCCTTTCCTCGACAATAAAATCCTTTTTCAGCTCCTCGAAAATGGAATCAGCTTCTTCCTCCGCCTCACGCAGTTCTTCTTCGAAATTCTTTTCTGTTCGACGACCTGAAATCAGAGGGTAAAATATTCTTACCATTACATGTGATCTGAAATCAATCTGGTCTGTGATCTTGATTTCGATGATGTCCTGTGCTCGATACGACACGTCTCTTATCCGTGCTTCCAGACGATCACTGGCTTCGTCGCCTCTGGATGAATAATTTTGCAGTGATGCTTCGAGAAGGCTGAATTTTTGTAGGAGTGATTTCATGATTGGGTGTTTACTGAGAAGGAAGTTTGGGTAATGATGGTGAAGGATTATATCTTCGAGTAAGTGCACGAGAGAAGCGAGAGCAGCATAATACGCCATTTTCTTACAACAAATTTGAAGCAACAAACACAAGATTGCCAGTAATGAAGAGCAACTCATTAATTACCAGTTGGAGTAGATAGATAGATGTTCCAATGGATAAGAATGTAAGATATGTGATGGAAAATACGTTGACTTGTTCTATGTTGACTGGCCATCCGTTTTTGTAGTGGTGGCAATATGGGTCGGCCCGGCCCGATTACAACTCGTGCTGAGCCGCCTGGAATGGCCGGTCCCGGTCCCGGTCCGCTCTTTCTTTATTTTTAAATTATTTTGTTAATTTTTTTAGTTTTGAATTAGTTTCAGATGCAAAATAAGACTTTTATCAAGGTAATTTTATTTTATTTTAAACATTTATATATATATATATATAAATTTATTAAAAGTTAAATATTAATTTTAAAATCGGACTGGGTTGGGCATACCGGGCCGGGCTAGATGTTAAGAAGGGATCCAGACATCCAACCTAGAATCAATTGATGATAAGTGGAGTGACCTTAATCGAGATGATAATCTCGAAATCATCTAAGGGTGTGTTTGTTTGGGGGATTGGATTTTGAGTTGGGATTTGAATAGTAAAAAATTTGAATTTGAATAGTTGTATGATGTGATATAAATAGGTGTTGATGTGATGTTTTGAATGTAAAATTGATTTTTTGTATAATATAAAAAATGAAAAATAGGGGTTTGATTTGATGTTTTTGGGGGAAAAATTTTGGATGAATAGTAAAATTTTGATAAAATTCAACAACCGAACACACCCTAAACCCAATAGGGGCAGCATGACTCTAATACCATGTTAAGAATGGATCCGGACATCCAACTTAAAAATTAATTGGTGATAGGTTAAGTGACCCTTAATTCTTATATAGTAGGGAAGTTCCACACATTTAGCAATGTGAGACAATATTCAACACCAGACACGACCCGAAAATTAGGGGGCCTGTTTTTGGAGGCCTAAGCACATTTTTTTCACATTTTACCAATAATTTAGGTAAAATATAGTTAGTAAATTGATATTTATCTTTTATTTTACTATTATTTTTTGTAAAAGAAAATATAGGATGCTATTTCCTTGTGAGGATTTGATTTTGATTTTCTATTTTGAATAGTAAAATTTTGAATTAAAATAGTTTTTTATGTGATATAAATATATATTGATGTGATATTTTAAATATAGATCAAATTTTAGTTTAATAAAATAAATAAAAATTAGATGTTTGATTTGATATTTTTGAAGAAAAAAAAATTGAAATAGTAAAATTAGGAATACAATCTTACAAGTAAACAAACCCTTAAATATCCGAGCTCCTTCTACTAGAATGACAACTTAATGTATTAGTTGAGTTTTCTTAACTGGTTAGGAAGTGATCATTCAAAAAATAAATAAACCAGAGAGGTAGAAGAAAGACAACCTTAATGTAAATTTATTAGAGTATAAGATAATATTTCTTAGATATAAATTTATAATTAAAATTATTACTTTTTATAAAAAAAAAATTAATAATAATAGAATATTTGATTTTTTATAATAAATATTTAATTTTTTTTTTTTACTTTTATATAAAATATTATTATTATTTGAAAATTACAATTAAAAATTCATATTGAAAGAATAGGGCTAATATTTCAACTAAAAAACACACACAGAATAATAATCGTTTCTGAAACAGTAGAGCAAGCCAACCCAAATATGCGGCTCCGATTAGATAGATAATTTTGGAAACTTTTGGAGTTACAAAGTTTTTTTAAAAAAAATTACTGTATTATTTAATACGATATCTTATGAATATATATATATATATCTTTGATATAATACTTTTTAAAAATTAAATACTACCAAAACTTCCAAAGTTTTTTTTATGACATAAAAATCTGCCGCCGCACTTTCGGCTCGAAAGTGCGCACCGGGTAAACTCCCAGCGGCCGAACGGGAAAAGCACACTAGGCAGGCCATCTCAAACCCTTCGTTTCTTTGTATCATATTCACAGTACAGACTAAAGAGGACAGCAGGATGCCCACACCATAAGGCCTGACCCGATCAATCGATCGGTCGGTCCGGTGAGGTTTCTTGTCTTATATCCGAAAATCGATATCTTAACAACAAAAGGTTTCAGCCATAAAATAAAGAACACCAACCATACATCACAGAACAATTAAAATACGACTACTCCTTCAATTCAACCAACACGCTAGATCAATTATATAGCCAAGGCCATTAGAAAATGTAGTCCGGAAGCTGAAGTGGGAACTTAGCTACCTCAACTGCGAATGGGCCGTCTTTTGGATCGGCTAATCTGAACAAGACACAAGAAAATCATATTCATCAGTGGAAACAACTCTCACGGCGTATATACACTTAGCCTAAAAACATAAGAAAGAAGGTGAAAAAACACGGTGGAATTGTTTGTAATGAAGTGGCCTTCCGCCCATTATTAAAATGATATCAGCACATGCGCCAGACAAGTTTTTCGAAATAATTTAGCTTTTGTTATGCCAGCCATATCATGTCAAGGGGTATTGCCAGGATGTAAGAATTTAAATTTTAATTGTAACCTCGCAGCAGCAACTTTATTGTTATCTTCATGTAAGTAATTAAGATTTTATTTGACTCCACCTCTCGATGAAAGGTACTATTATTACCAACAGAAGTAAAAAACATATGAACAAGTTACAGTAAGAGCAAACTAGGGATCGAGCACTAAAATTACATCTAGGCGGTTATATACCAATATCATAAGATATATGTTGATATAATACAAATACAATGCATGACCATAGTCTACACTGCACATACTAAAATTAATCTCTGCAAACAAAATATATTAATACGTACAACACATATAAAATAGAATAGACAGCACATGCTAACAATATACATCACATATTGTATGAATGGTTAGCATTTTCCGTCAAACTATATTTCATGAGCTGATAACCATTCCCTACATTTAACAACAGAGTTTGCACTTTAAATGCTAGGACCGATGAATGATATGTGGACGGGATGAGACTAACTTAATAAAAGTATACATAGAAACAAAAACAAGCCTAGTATGGGGAGCTATTAGTCTGAATATAAAAACAGGTAAAGCGGGGAGGTGCGGACTTGATTAAGCAGGTGTTCCATCAAGCTTGCAACATGATTCAAACGAGTCTAGAATTGCAAGAACATGTAAATAAACCATTTCATGAAACAGTCCACATCAACATTATTAACAGTTTGATATAACATAGGGTGTGTTCACTTAGGGTGTGTTTGTTTGGGGGATTGGATTTTAAATACGCTATTCATCCCATTTTTTTTCCCCAAAAACATCAAATCAAACACCTATTTTTTATTTTTTATATTATACTAAAAATCAATTTTACATTCAAAACATCACATCAACACCTATTTATATCACATCATACAACTATTCAAATTCAAAATTTTTACTATTCAAATCCCAACTCAAAATCAAAACCCCAAAAAAAACACACCCTTAGTGTTTTTTAATGATATTGTCCTTTTTTTTTTTTTTATGTTTGTATAGAAAATTGTATCAATAATAAAAATAAAATAAAATTGTATTGAATTTTTTACTTTCTTGTTATATATATATTATTTTAATGTATGTGTATATTATATTTTTTTATAATATTTATAGAGAATCGTATTATTCAAAAACACAGTGAACAGACCCAAAATAGTTTGTTTCAGAATAACTTTGATAATTAGTAATTCATTCTCTATGCCTACTTCCTACCCTTAAAATGCAGAGGAAGACATGGACTAACAACTTCAGATAGTTGAGCCATATACAAATTAGCTCATTGGTTTGTCTATGATTCAGATCTATTTCTCAAACTAGAATTACACGTTTTCTCCGAGCTCGTTCTACATGGTAAAATGCTGATAGGAATCTGATACAACTCTGCACTACTCAAAATAGTTGCTACAATCAGATATGCAATTTGAAACCTTCAACCAGCCTAATCTAGTCACAAACCTGTTAAAAATAATCTTTAATCCATGAGAAGAATAAAGTGTTTGGAATTGGAAAACAACTGCCACATCTAAAAAAAGCCAATACTATAAAAGATCAAAAAGTGAATAAAAGGAGACCTTCAAATTTTTCTTTTACATGTGTATGAAACAACAGCTAATATTCAGGCAAAAGAATTCAGCTCCGATAGAGTCCTTCACGTGTTTTTACTCAAACTTTAATCCAAACTTATCTATAAATGAAAACTATTCTAAGCAAGATACATACTAGTAAGTGAACAAATAAATCTATTTCGACCAGCTAAAATCGAGAACCTACCCTTAACAAATTTAAGAATCTATAATCCAGTATACACTTGTTGGATTAGCCAAAAGAACCTATATCTTGGTTGTTGAAGTGTTATGACCCAAATTGATCACATCAAACAACAGTAAGATTTGGTCCCAGTCTGAACATTATTAATAAAATGAAGAAATCCAAGTGAATGAAACCAAGGACAAGTTCTACTTTTCACCTGCGCGGGAAATTTTAAGGGACTTTTTACATTGAAGCATGATAAGCATAACCACATACATGTGGACCTAGCTTTGTATCTTTTGGTTTTGAGAGAGTTCAACATTTTTTTCCTTTTTAGGTGAAAAGAACAAAAATAGATGCATAATGAAATGCTCTCAATAAAAAACATTTAAAATTTAAAGTTATTATGTTAAATTATAATCAATTTTTAGTATTAGTATTCTATATTTTTAGTAGATCAGTATCCTAATCATGTTAAAATTTTCCACCCTTTCCTTATTAACCATTGTACTCACAAAATAAATAGCGAACTACTACCTCCGTTCCATATAAAATGTCCACATTTGTCATTTCGGTCTGTCCCATATATTGTCATTTACTCTTTTTGAAAATATAATTGTACACTTTAATCACATTTTAAATTTCATAATTTATAATTTTTTTAATTTTAATTAAATTGTTTAGTTATCTTGATCCTAATCTATAATTATTTTTATTATATAATAATTATTTTTACTAATATATTTCTTAATTACTTACTAATTATATTTTACCTAAATTATCGTATCTATAGTATCACGGACAAAAAATCTGGAACGAAGGGAGTAGTATTCATATCAACTAGAAAACAGTGTCATTTATCCATAGTATGAAAGTTTTAGGTTTAGGTTTTGCCCAACATTTTATTCCTATTCCTTCCCCAAACTTAAACATTAGCCTATTACCCAGAAAACATACTTAGGGTTCTAGTTTTTCCAATCAAAACAAATCAGTATTCAGATTTAAATTTTCAATTTGTATTTGTTATAGTTCTAATTTTCAGTTTTGATGCATTATATTATATTCAATGATTTTCTCATTATAAAAGTAAGTGAGGTGGATAGTATCATGTTCCGGTCTTGTGCAATGGCACTTTCTAAGGACAACGGAAACTTGCATTCAGGGTACTCTAGTTAGAAAAGCATGATAAATACAGAACTCTTGAACGTCACTGGTAATCTTATGCTTCTACCGTATTTGAGGAAAACATGCTCTGATGTTGTTCTTTAAAGGTTTACGAATGGATAGAAAATTCTCTACACATCTCCTGGTCTAAATCAAATGTCATATTAACTTATCTGTGTTCAACTTGACACAGAACATAACAATATATGCATTATGTCAGGACTATGTTCCAAGTATCAGGATTCGACATTTACTAGATATTGAGCAACAGGTATAGTTAAATTTCCATTTCATCTTGTTAGGATTTAATGTCTTCATTAACATTATTCTCACTTCCTAGTTCCTAGCATTAAATTCAACAGGAAATACAATTTACTATTCGAATTTCTATGCTTGCTGAAGGATCAAATTTTATGTAAATAGTGGACAAGCAGACACGGTATCATTATGCAATGCAAATATGTAGCATTCCTCATGCCATGTCTTTGATCAATACAGAGATTTGAGAACAATTGAAAGAACCCGAAGAGAGAAGAGACCAGTCATCTTAGATCAGGTTATCAATGAAGCGTGAACCCTATAAATATTAAACTGTACGGCAGAGTATAAAAGCAGTGAGTAATTGCATGCTGGGTTACACATTTAATTGCCGAACAAAAGCTAGCTGCATAAATATTCTGTGTACCTTCCAGGAACAAAAGTAAAAGAGCCTTCAATAGATCCAGAGGAAGCAGGTAGAGATGTACAACTCTGATACACAAACTCTTCCTTACCAGAACGGAGTAGTGGAAACTGCAGGCATATGAATATGTAACGAAGAATTAGAAGAAAATCATGTAGAAATACCACAATAAGAGACTACTGTAACTGGAGCTTAAGGTGATTTAGAAGATGGAAACTGTACCATGTAGGCTATGTTTTAACACTCTACTCAATAATTACACCCAGCATATCTATTTAATATGTAGCTCTCTCAATTAATCAAGCAAAAATGTCCGAATAATTTTTTATTTTTTTTATTTTGTATTTTTAAAAAGAAAAAGAAAATTCAGAAATAGAAAATATAACTCTAAGACCAGGTTTGATGAATCCAATCAATTTCATTCAAAAAAATTTACATAAGTAATGCAGATAGTCATTTAACTACTTTAATAAAAGCACATCATGACCCATTTCAGGTGTTCAACTAAAGAACATAAGATCAACTACCATATAAAGACCATCTTATAAATGCATAAGAAGAAGAAAGTACAGAAAAAGAAACCTTTCCAATCACTGCTTCTCCATTGACATCTGCAACAAGAACGTCATTAGTTCGAATAATCCAGTGTCTCCAGGATAATTGGCAAGTGTTGACAGTCAACCCGTTAATGACACATCCTTCAGGTGAAAGAGACATTCGGATGGAGTAAGCAAATAAAAATTTTTCGGATTCAGCTTGAAGGTTACTGAACTCGGGCACAAATGCTGCCGAAGCACGGACCTATAACCAAACGAAAAAGTAGTTGCAATATAATTAAGTGGGTCACTACAATTGCGGGGGCATATTTCATGAAAAATCAGGATAAGAAATGCTCGGGGAGGAGCGGCTGATTTGCGCAAACATAAACTTGTGACAATAAACTAGCGATTTAGAAAGTCGGATTTGATATTATTACACCATATCAGTGCAAATTCTAAAATGTTAACCATGTATTTTTAAAAATTATGGCATCAAAATTGGATACCTTTACACCATTTGTTATTGCACAGGAGCAGAGGGGCGGCTGTTCTGGAAACAGATTGATGCTTCGCATTTTATGTTCTTGGCGAACTTTGATAATTCCATCATGCAAGCGACGAGCATGTTCTTCAAGCCATAGTAGCATACCATCCTGCTGTTGACAACCTTTTGAATCACGAGCTGAAGTTATCAAAGCCTCCGGCACACAAGGCAGCATTTCTCCATCTGTCACAAGATTCTTCGTGCCAACATACAGTTGACCGCTGCTGCAGTTCAGAAAGAAAAGTTTTTCACTGTGTGTAGCAGAGGAAGCCACCACAATATGCTTTGATCTGCTGCTGAATCCCATCTGTGTCATAACGCTCCTTGAATCGAGTATCACTTGGCTCAAAGGCAACAAGAAAACATTCACCGAGTGATCATATAAAGAATAGCCACCAATGATACCCAATAAACTCGACTGCAAGCTTCCAATGTAGTGTTCATTTGGTAGTTTTTGACCATTGCAAAATCTGTATATTACCCTACTTGGGAGAGGCAGTTTTATTCTCAAAGTTTTCTCAAACTTCTCAATTTCATCTTCTGATGCACCTCTACGCAAAGTAGGCAAAACCTCAGGAAAGTGTATGGCAAACCACTCTTTAAGCTTGTGCCAGCACCTGTTAACTCGCATAACAAGCGGCCATGGGTACATTGAAAATTCTGTTCTCCATTTTGTGTAAGCTACCTGCAGATCAAATTCTACTTAGAGATTTTATTTGAATGAAACACACATTTTCCAGCAAGTCCTTTACTAAAAAAATGTGTTAGAAAAGCATTACAACTTTGACGCATATCCGACTATAAACTTCACACACTAGTGACCTGAGTTGAATCACATGAACTGTCACAAATCCACAAAACATTAGAAACTACAATTCTGTTTAAACTAAATTGTGAACTGTGTTTTCACTTTCATATTCAGTAACAGTTTATATCGTTTCAAAAAACAAAACAATCATTTCGACCTTCTAAGCAATCAAGATGAAAAATTATTTGCAATAGAAAAACATCAAATTGCCAATTTTTTTTACCTTTCAAGACAAACGAGTTCCCAAAAGCATACAACTTGAATTAACCTTCACCAACTCCCACTCTATCCTTTAACACTAAGTACCACACTACTTCTGTAAAGCGAAAAATCAATATATGTACTGTAAACTCATACAAGAATTCAATTCACAGACAAATTTCTAAAACTAAACAAATTAGCAGTAGGATTTAACGGGAATATCGAAAAAAAATTAAAAAAAAAAATAAAGACAGTCGTATCACAGACTTTAAAAGAAGGGCATGGATTGCCGCAAGGATCGAGAGGGGAAGACAGATTAAGGTCTTGTGCGCAGAAGCGAGCCCAGACGTAGTCATCGGAAGCCCAGACATGAAATCGACGGTTGAGACAAGCGACGAAAGCAGCTTCCCTGGGACCCAATTTGGAGAGGATGATGTGCGTCGCCAAGCCGCCAACGCTCTCCAAACCCATAGATGTTGCTTGATTGATCGATTCTGGTCTGTAATTGGGAAGTCGGTAGGCGAATTTCATAGCCTCTCTCTTTTTCTCTAAGAGGGAGATCAGCACTGAAAATGGGAGCGTGGTGGGTCACGCTTGTTTTTCATTTTTGTAAAAATAAATTTTTTTTTTTATTTTTTTATTAATAAAAATAATAATAAATTTAGATGTAAAAAAATAAAAATAAATTTAAACGACAGACATATATTTACTAATAAATTTTCACATATAGTAAAAATGCTACCGATTGTTGTTATTGCTTACCTCTTCTGTTTTGTTTTTGTGTTAATATTTATTAATTTATTTAGTAAAATTTGTTGAACTTTTTTTTGTACTTAAAAGAATTTTTCTTCTTGTAAAACTAAATTCATCGATATTATTCTTAAAAGTAAAACGATTTAATGTCTAGTAAATTAACATTACAATAGAAGGTGTCAATATGACAAGAGTAAGATTGTTGTCGGAATTTTTAAAATAAAAGAAAAAAAAAAAAACACCAAAAATGATGTTTCAATTATGGTAATAAGGTATTTTAAGAAATTATAAATATAATAAGTGTAAATTATATTTTTTTAGTTTCGGACCCCTTTATCATTTGAGTCCAGTAATTAGAAGTTGTCTTAAACTAGAAATTTTTTTAGTTTAGTCCTTAATGCCTAGATAGCATCTGCATGACAGGCTGGTGGACACGTGTCGGCTAGATCAGCGCCGAATACGTGTCCGCCACGCAGATTATTTTTATTTTTTAAAATATAAGAAAAATAAAATTATAAAAATAAATATAAAAATAGAATTAAGTTTTTATTAGTCTTGTGACACTAGAGCTCTAGTTTATCGTTACCATCTAAAAAATCTAAAAAATATATTTTAAAGTCAAAGTTGATTCGTGTCCAATCTAATCTAATTAAGTTTAGTTCATGACAAAACATAACATGACACGGTATAACACATCATAATGCAATATGACTAATGTAATTATAATTTACCGTTCAACCTATCAATTTTTCTCTTATCGAAATTTAATTTTGAGAAGGTAATTATTTATCTATGCAACTGGTAGATATATTCTTAAAATATTTATTTTTTAAGAATTAACTATTTCATATACTACTATTAATGGAAATAACCAATGCATATTAATACAAAGGGATCACTCTATTCAAATACTTTCTCCGTTCAACTCCAAATGTGCTCTTTGTGATTTCATAATAGATTAAAAAATAATACTATTTTATTACTAGGGTAAGTATGTAACAAGTTTTTATATTTTTGTATTTAATTTTATGTATAAATGAATTGTATGTGTACTGATGTATTTGTAATTTAGGTAAATGTTAAGAGTATTATAGTATTATTGTATGACTACTTTTACTAAAATAAAAAAAAAAAATACTTTTGAACGGGCGAACGAAAACAATAAAAATGATACTTTAAGTTGGGACGAAAGAGAGTAGATATTATTGTATAAAACAAGGTAAATTGTGGCTTTGAATGTATTTCACTAGACAATGTTATTAAATCAATAATATCCTACATCTTACTTGTTCTCATATTTGAATCTATTCCCGGCTGAGAAACACATTTTATCTTCACAAGTATTTTTGTTTAAGCGGTATCACTTCGTATTTATTTAGGTATTATGAGTCATTAGAAGTTCAAAATTTATCTTAGTCTTGAATTCTTCTGTCATGACGTATACTGAGATAATATTATCAAATCAAAAACACTTTACTTATTGTTTGTTCCTGTATTTGTTTCTATTTCAGGTCATAAAAAAATACTTTTATCTATACAATTGTTTTGCTTAAATCGTTCAATTTCGTACTTACTTCGGTAACCTTCTACCGAACGGTGAGCTACTAAAAATTCAAAATTTTATTTTACACCACTCAAGATCATCAAGAGTAAAGTAGTTTTTTTAGTCTCATAACTGGACTCCCTTATCATTTTAGTTCCGTAAGTGGAGCATGTCGCAAACTAGTTTCATAAGTGGAAAATTTTCGTTGTTTTAGTCCTACGGCGCCGGAGACACCCGCGTAGCTCGGCGGAAGCCACGTGTCCGCCAGGTGTCCCGCCAGGTCAGCGACACCTGGCGGACACGTGGATTTTATTTTATTTTTTCATTTTTTTAATTATTTTAATTATTTTTTAATTGGACCAAATAAAAAATTAAAAAAACAAATAAATTTTAAATTTTAAAAAATTTAAAAAAAATTAAAAAAAATAATAAAATAAAATCCACATGTCTGCCAGGTGTCGCTGACCTAGCATACACGTGGCCTCCGGCGAGCCATGCGGGCGTCTCCGGAGCCGGATGAATAAATCAGCGAAAATTTTTCACTTATGGGACTAGTTTGCGACATGCTTCATTTACGGGACTAAAATGATAAGGGGTCCAGTCACGGGATTAAAACAAACAGTTTATCCTTAAAAGAATTGTAGAAGACACATCTTTTAAGATTTGCAATATAAACTCACGTAATTTTATTTTTTTCATTAAACTAAGTTTGTAAAATCTCCACTTATCGCTATTGAATATTTACTAATTGTTTTATATATAATTTTTTAATCTCATTTCTCCAACACTAAATAATCTAACAACATTATCCATCTTTGAGATTAATTTTTGCATAATATTTGTATCAATGATGAATGTATCACAATTTTATTTTGTACATTACAATATTATAGTGTTTGATAAAATAATTATTGTATTAATTATTTATATATAAAATAATAATTAATAAATATATTAATATTTTTTTTGTTAAAATCTTCATATGCACATATATATTTATTATGAAAAAGTACACGAGGAAAAATGTACAAAGTTTAAAGATAAAAGTAAAAAATGTATCTTTTATTGGCTATGGAGAAAATTACAGCGGCTACAATTTATACGATTTTACAACACGCAAAGTGGTGATGTCAAAAGATGTTGTATTTGATGAAGAACAAACAATGAGCTGGAATTAAAATGAGCATGTGAAACAGGTTCCTTTTAAAGAGAGCTAAAAAAAAGAACAAGGCTGCGGAGTAATAAGCAAAAGATGTGGTGCCTAATCGTGTTGAAGGACAATATAAAAATAATAACTCCAATAGCAATCCAATTGTGAGAAGAACGGGAAGGCTCCAGGACATATATAACTCCAGTGAAATGATTGATGAGGAGTTCAATACTTTTTGTTTATTTTAAGGTTTTGATTTATTAATATTTGAAGAAACTTCCAACGAAATAAAGTGTCAAATTCTATGAAGGAAACATTTCATACTACGAAAAGAACAATACATGAGAACCAAGGTCACTTTCTCATGGACATCAAGGAATTAGAGTTAAATGGGTGTTCAAGGTGAAAAGAAATGCTAAATAAGAAATTGAGATACCCAACTCTCGACTAGTCACAATGGAGTACAATCAAAGATTTTGAATCGATTATGTTGAAGTTTTTGCTTGAGTTGCTAGGCTTGAAATAGTATGGCTGGATTTTTCAGTGGCAGCTCAAAAGAAGTGAAAAATATATCAATTGGATGTCAAGTCGGCATTTTTTATGTTAAGCAATCACATGTATTCATCGTTAAAAGACAGGAAGAAAAGGTGTGCAGATTGAAGAAGACACTTTATAGATTAAAGCAAATCCCAAGAGTTTGGAATTTAAGAATTGATTCTTAGGGTGTGTTCGTTTGTAGGATTTAGATAAAATCCTACTATTCATCCAAAAATTTTCCCCCAAAAACATCAAATCAAACACCTATTTTTTATTTTTTATATTATATTAAAAATCAATTTTACATTCAAAACATCACATCAACACTTATTTATATCTCAAAATCCAAACCCCCAAACAAACACACCCTATTAGTTTATTCAAAATAGTTTTGTGAAGTGCCCATATGAGCACCCCTTGTATGCAAAGAAAAACTTGGTTGAAGATTTATTTTTGTGGTGTGCTTATATGTTGATGACATTATTTTTATAGATAACAACAAAGCTTTGATCTAAGATTTCAAAAAATCAATGAAAAAGAAGTTCAAAAATGATTGAATTATGGTTGATGAAATATTTTTTGGGCATCGAGGTACAACGGAATGCACATGGGGTGTTTATCTCTCAACAAAAACATATTAGTAAGGTTTTTTATGTAATTTTCAATGAAAGATACATTTTATCTTCACAAGTCCATTTGTTTAAGCGGTACCACTTCGTACTTATTTAGGTTATTATGTCTTAGTCTTGAATTCTTCTGTCATGACGTATACTAAGATAATGTTATCAATTAATAACACTTTACTTATTGTTTGTTCCCGTATTTGTTTCTATTTCAGGTTATAAAAAATACTTTTATCTATACAATTGGTTTGCTTAAGTGGTTCAACTTCGTACTTATTTAGGTAACCAGCGAACGGTGAGCCACTAAAAATTCAAAATTTTATCTTACACCACTCAAGATCATCAAGAGTTGTTGTTCGTTTTTTCTCATGTAAAGAATTGTAGAAGACATATCTTTTAAGATTTGCAATATGAACTCATGTAATTTTATTTTTTTCATTAAACGAAATTTGTAAAATCTCCACTTATCACTATTGAACATTTACTAATTGTTTTATATATAACTTTTTAATCTCATTTCTCCAACACTAAATAATCTAACGAGATTATCCATCTTTGAGATTAATTTTTGCATAATATTTGTATCAATGATGAATGTATCACAATTTATTTTGTACATTACAATATTATAGTGTTTGATAAAATAATTATTGTATTAATTATTTATATATAAAATAATAATTAATAAATATATTAATATTTTTTTTTGTTAAAATCTTCTTATGCACATATATATTTATTATGAAAAAGTACATGAGGAAAAATGTACAAAGTTTAAAGATAAAAGTAAAAAATGTATCTTTTATTGACTATGGAGAAAATTACAGCGGCTACAATTAATACGATTTTACAACACGCAAAGTGGTGATGTTAAAAGATGTTGTATTTGATGAAGAACAAACAATAAACTGGAATTAAAATGAGCAGGTGAAACGGGTTCCTTTTAAAGAGAGCCAAAAAAAAATGAACAAGGTTGCGTAGTAATAAGCAAAAGATGTGGTGCCTAATCGTGTTTAAGGACAATATAAAAATTATAACTCCAATAGCAGTCCAATTGTGAGAAGAACGGGAAGGCTTCGGGACATATATAACTCCAGTGAAATGATTGATGAGGAGTTTAATACTTTTTGTTTATTTTAAGGTCTTGATCCATTAATATTTGAAGAAACTCCCAACGAAATAAAGTGTCAAATTCTATGAAGGAAACATTTCATATTAACGAAAAGAACAATACATGAGAACCAAGGTCACTTTCTCATGGACATCAAGGAATTAGAGTTAAATGGGTGTTCAAGGTGAAAAGAAATGCTAAATAAGAAGTTGAGATACCCAACTCTTGACTAGTCACAATGGAGTACAATCAAAGATTTTGAATCGATTATGATGAAGTTTTTGCTCGAGTTGCTTGGCTTGAAATAGTAAGGCTGGATTTTTCAATGGCAGCTCAAAAGAAGTGAAAAATATATCAATTGGATGTCAAGTCGGCATTTTTTATGTTAAGCAATCACATGTATTCATCGTTAAAAGACAAGAAGAAAAGGTGTGCAGATTGAAGAAGACACTTTATAGATTAAAGCAAGTCCCGAGAGTTTGGAATTTAAGAATTGATTCTTAGTTTATTCAAAATAGTTTTGTGAAGTGCTCATATGAGCACCCCTTGTATGCAAAGAAAAACTTGGTTGAAGATTTATTTTTGTGGTGTGCTTATATGTTCATGATATTATTTTTATAGATAACAACAAAGCTTTGATCTAAGATTTCAAAAAATCAATGGAAAAGAAGTTCAAAATGATTGACTTATGGTTGATGAAATAATTTTTGGGCATCGAGGTACAAGGGAATGCACATGGGGTTTTTATCTCTCAACAAAATCATATTAATAAGGTTTTTGATGTAATTTTCAATGGAATATTATAGTGTTGTCGGCACACCGCTGAAAGTTGGCACTAAATTGATTAAGGATTGATAAGGAAAACCAGTGAATCCAACTTATTACAAGAGTTTTGTAGGATGTCTCGGGTATTTAACTTATACACAGCCTGGTATTTTATTCAATTTTAGACTTGTTAGAAGATATATAGAAACAAAAAAAAAAAAAAAAAAAAAAAAAACCTTACCATTTGAAACTTGCATAAAGGTTTTTAAAATACATCAAAGAGATAATTGATCATGGATAGTTATACTCTTCAAATGGAATACTGAATTTGTTGGATTTAGCGACAGTGATTGGTCTGGGATTCTCGATGATCAGAAAAGTAATACAAGTTTTGCATTTTATCTTGGTGGCAATGAATTCACTTGGTCCTCAAGAAAGCAAATATGTTGTGTTGTATCAATTTGTGAAGCAGAATATATTGCAGTTGCTTCGTGTGTTTGTCATGTCATTTGGCTAAAAATATTGCTTGGATATTTGAAGCTACAACAAGAAAAATCAATGAAGATTTATGTCGACAACAAATATGTCATTATGCTTGCAAAAAATTCAGTTCATCATGAATGCTCCAAACATATTGATACTCACTTTCTCTTCATAAGGTGACATATGAAATCAAAAGAAGTGGAGTTGCATCACGTGAGTTCAAGTGATCAAGTTGCTGACATATTACGAAGACCTTGAAGACTGAAATTTTTCAATACTTGAGGATACTACTTGAAGTTCAAGTTTGGGGGGGAACAAGTTTAAGGGGAGCAAATATTGATATGTAAATTTGTTTCCGACATTTAATAATGATGGTTGTATCTCTGCATGTTTACATTAATTGTAGTTTTGGGAAAGTGTAAAAGTTTGTCTTTATAGAATCTTCCATTTCAACCAAAAATTATTTATGAATGGTAAGAAACAAGTAAAATTTCGATAATTAATATTAAACTACCTTATTTCTCTTGTGTTCTATCTTTTCAATTCAAATTAGCTGCTATTGTTTCCCCATTTCAACTATTAGTACCTCTCAAAGTCATGCCGGTGACTATTTTTTAAAAGGGATTGTGAAAAAGTGTTCAATAACGGACCTCCTTATTTAGGAAACATGGGATTTGGAAATGAATATCGTAGATTAAAGTAGACTATGTGTTTGTTTGAGAGTTTGAATTTTAATAGTAAAATTTTGAATTTGAATAGTTGTTTAATATGTATAAATAGAAATTAATGTGATATTTTTAATATAAAATTAATTTTGTTGTAATAGAACATTATATTTAATTTGATGTTTTTTTAGAAGTTTTCTATAAATAGTAGAAATTTATAAAATCTTCCAAATAAGTACCATAGTCTTCGCTGAGATATGTTATCACCTTACTTTTTCATTATTTTTTGGGGAACTCTTTGGAAACTTATCGACAAGACAGTAAAAAAGAGATTAGTTATGGCTCTTTGGGTCTGGTTATCTCTCTTCTCCAATATGCTAATAACAATTATTTTCTTAGAGGTTCGTTTAGAATTCCTAATTATCATCAAGTGCATCCTTAAATATTTTCAACTATCTTATAGGTTTTAAGTTTCTGGCATTAACATCCTTAGAATCCACTCTCAAGTCTCAAGCAGTCAAAAAGTGCATTAGAATGCTTAGTGTAACCTTCCTTTCATGTATTCAGATGCATTTTCCTGTGCTATAAGCAATTAGATTTCAATTTGACTTCTTATTTTGAGCAAAGTGAGCAACCGATCAATTTGTTGGAAATCTAAGTTTCCTAATTTTATGGTTGGCTCACTCCCACCCCATTGGTTTGATCATTTTCTATCTCTATTTAAGATCCCATTTTTAATCAATCTTCTTTGAAATAGATTCAGAAGTTTCATTTGAGTAGACTTGGGGTGTGTTTGTTTGGTGATTTGGATTTTGTGTTGGGATTTGAATAGTAAAAATTTTAAAATAATAATAATCGTATGATGTGATATAAATAGGTGTTGATATGATATTTTAAATGTAAAATTAATTTTTAGTATGATATAAACAATGAAAAATGAAAATTAAGTATTTGATTTGATGTTTTTAGGAGAAAAAAATTGATGAATAATAGAAATCCTAAAAATACATGAAGTACTGAAATAAGCATAAGGTGATAAGTTTTTTATACTAATGGACACAAATTGCATAAAATGTATAGAATTTATCCCAATAGTTGAAATAAAGATTAGCAAAGAGTCGCACTTGCAATAAAAAACAGTGTCCAAAAGTCGAATATTCTTTAAATAATCTTGAAAAAATATAAATAAAACCAGAAATGTTTATGGAGCGACACGGATGAGGTTCAAAAAGAAACAAAAAGCCGGTGACAGATTCATGGAGATGGACGGATGGACGGGCTACAGACATATTAGGGTTGATTGAGATCTTCAATGTGCACTGCAATAACATGAATTCACTTCTTGTTAGTCTTGTACATCTCACCACCAAAGGCCCTCGTGGTAGAATTACCAATTCTAGTCAGTAATTATATTAGGGGCGACCTCTAGAAAGTAAATTCGAAAGAAATCAATTACCATTTCTATCTTTAGCTATCCTTTTGTCCACGTTCATTTTCCTTCTCTTGCATGCCTCTTTCTTCTACACAACATATATAGTTAGCAACTTAGCAAACAAAATATATTGTTGATATTTTGCAAAATATATTTTATTACATAACTAACATTCATTTCGGGTAAATCCATGCATAAAACTTCCATTTTGGTCATAATCTTGTATAATGATTCTATGCCTTATCTTGGCTAGTATAAGGTTGAATTAAACAATAAAATTTAGGTATAACATTTTATGCATTTAAAACAAATTGTTTTACTTCAGTTTACCTATTAGATTAAGAACTAAGAAGCAATTAGGAGAAGCACATAATGTAAATTACCTAATCACTTTCAACCATAAAAAAAATCAATAGTAGGACAATGGTTTTTGAAAGAGTTGTTAGAGCATAAATTTTATGACCATCGAACTTCAACAATTTTCTTATGCTTCATTTCTTCATTTATATATTTTCCATTGAGGAAATTATTCAGCATAAAATGTTTAGGAAGGGAACTCACTGTCATCCATTGGCAGCGCATGGCAATGTCCCTCACAGTCTTAGTTTTCAGCAACGTCGCAATCTTTGAATAACGAATAACAGTTGGCTCAGAAGCATATCTGCAGGAAATAACATATATAGTTATGAATATTTGTAAAGAATTTAGGGATTTGTTCTCTTTGATTTGGTTGTGTCGGGTGTTTTGTGTTTTGAAGTAATAAAAAAAATGAATTGAAATAATTGTATGATGTAATTTAAATATATACTTGATATGATGTTTTGAATAAAGAAAAATAAATATATAAGTTTGAATGTATTAAATAAAATATAAATACTATGTAAAATTATTTTTTAGGTGAAATTTGTTACTATATTCATAGTAAAAATACGTTTTGCGAAACATAACCAAATATATTTATATTATTTATTCAAAAATTATATTTAACTGGTATTTTCCATTACATTTACTACTCGCAAACAACCTATTACACCGGGAAAAAAAAGTTCTCTTTGACTTTTAGTTTTAAAAAAAATAAAATTATTATGCAACCACACAATTTCCTATAAAAAAAAATATATTAGATTTTTTATTCAAAAAATTATATCCAATAATTATCTTACCTAAAAAAGGAACAAAAATCGAAACACCTATACGACAAAAAGAACAAATCCATCGTGAAGGAAATCGATTGGTATATTCCATACTACTTGAGGAAAAAGTAACAACAACTTATGAAAGGATCTAAATCCGCAACATGCTCCAATATGGAAACAAAATCAAATCAACTGAATGGCAAAAAATAAAATCCATTATATTAACAACATACCAATAGAACAATATCTTCTGCAAAAATGAGTACTCAAAAAATAATGCAAACACCAAAAGGTAACAACAATAAAAATAGATCTAGATGAAAATAATCAAAATTAACAACAATCATTTCGCGAAAAAAAACCCTAATCGGAAAGGACAAAAAATGAATGACTTACATGATCAAAGTCTCCTCGAAGATGGCTTGCTCCTCCGGGGTCCAGTCCACAGAGATGGTCTTCTGGTGCTGGAAGCTCGGCCCGTCACGTTGTCCATGCACATCGGTAGCTTTCCCATTGTTCGAAGAACCACCATTAGTGCTTTCATTGCAGTTCTTGCTTGAGCTAGCCATTTGTGTACAATAGAACGATTAGATATGAGCGTGTGTGTGCTTGTGTATGTATGAACGATCTTGTAATTAGGGAAAAATGCCAAGGTACGCGCGAGTATAATGATGCAAAAGAAGGCAGAATAGGAAATGGGGAATAGAGAAGATAAGAATGGCGGTATGGTCGCAATGTATAGATGGAGAGCCTTCTTCACTTGCTTACTTTATAATGAGAAGGGTCTCCTCGCCCGCCCGAAACTCTAAACCCTAAACCTAACTCAGTTTAGGAGTACCTCAAATATATGGTAAGTGAAACCCTAGCCCGGATCTAATGTGAGTCCATTTGTCGGAGCCCAAAATAGCATAAATGGGCCCGTATATTATATATGTGTAATTAATAAAGATGATAAAATAATTTTTTGTAGTTTCACTTATTGCGAGATTAATGGGAAAATATCATATACACTATTTCCCAAAATGTCGAAAGACAAAAAAATGTTTTCATATCCTTCATCTCATCAAATATAGGTTTTTGTCGATCTACACACCGGTCCTCTTTCACTACCTCGTATCCACTAAGTCATATGCACGACATTCACGGTCACATTGATCCTCTCTGGAGAATAAGTAGCTAATGTTTTAAAACCACGAGCTTTAACACCTAAGGACCATTTGGTAAGTATCAATATAGGGGCTTCCGCTAAGTGTCAAATGTAAATGTGTACAAATTGGTATTGAGTCGGTCATGTAATCCATGTTCTAATTTTTCGTTTAATGTTGCATGCCAAAAATTTCAAAAATACTCATAGCTCATAGAAGAACTTTTATTAACTAAGCAGCATAATAAGTTATTGACAAAAAACCATCAATTCCGACCCACTGGTTCCAACCCGTTACCTGAAGCAAATGTGACATTTTTTAAAAACATGGCCAAGAATGTAATGGGCTGTTGACGTGGCCCCGGTCGTGAGAGCAACGCGATCGATAAATCCCTTACAATCACCTTAATTTTGACATTAATAAGTAGCAGAGTAAACCCCAATATTGAGATATTTTCAAATAAAGCTAAATAGGAAAATACATAGATTAGCATTTGTCATAGGTGTGGCATAGAAGGACATTTGATCAATACCTTCAGAACAACCAAACACCTAGTTGATCTCTATCAAGCATCACTGCAAAAAAAAAAAAGAAAAAAGGTCGAGATTAATCACGTCGATAATTATGACGCCCACCATGATGATCTTCTGGATAATGACAATATGAATTTTGATATAGCATATTTTGTCGGAGATCCAGCGAACCCCCATTGACAGACATATATGTCATTTTAATTAGGCAAAATAGTAAAAAACCCCTTGTGGTTTCCCAAATTTGTTGAAAAGCCCTCGTAGTTCTAAAACTCCAAAAAAACTTACTTGTGGTTTCCAAAATGTTGCAAAAAATCCCCCCTTCCGTTAGGATTTAACGACGGTTGTATATCACACGCCTGAAATGCGATTTTTGGTCCATAAATTGATATATTTCTGTATAAAATTACTAAATACCGCAGCTTCTTCTTCTTCATTCTTCTTTCCTTCTTGTTCTGCATACTTTTAGAATTTAATCCCAATTCAATATTTTTTTTATTTTAAATCCGTTAAACACAACCAAATGCGAAATTGATCCCAAATTTATAATACAATTAATCGACCGGACATGGAGATAAAGACAAGAATGCGTAAGTTATCGATTTCTTCTTCTGTTTTATCAAACCCAAAAAATTAAGAAATCAATTTCAGAAGAAAGAAAGAACCTGGTGTTGTTGGTTGCAGCGGCGTAAGGAAGAATTGGAGAGGAAAAATAGAGATAAAAGAAAATTTGGGGAAAAGAAAAAAAAAAAAAAAAAAATTGTTGTCCAACCCCTTCTTCCTCTTCTTCCCCTTCTCTTTCTTTCTTCTCTTTCTCTTCTTCCTTCCTTCTTCCCTGCTCCAGCCATTTCTGCCCGTCATCTTCTTTCTCTTCTTATTCTTTAATTCTTCATTCTTCAAAGAAGAATTGAAGATGAAGAGAAAGGAAAAAAAAATTGGGGAAAAAAAGAAAAGAAAGAACCGGGATTGCTACGGCCGTAAAAAAAAATTGGGAAAGAAAAAAAAAGTTGAGGAAACAGAATAAAAGAAAGAGCTGCGCGTGTGAAGAATTTGGGGGAAGAAGAAGATGGAAGAAAAAAGTTAGGGAGAAGAAAGAAGACAAGAAGAAAAGAAAAATAAAGAAGAAAATAGAAGAGAGAGAAATAAATTAAAAATATATAAATAAGGGTATAACTGTCAAATTTGATAAAAAAAAATTAACGTTCATTAGTCAAATTTAGAGAGGGGGGAGAGTGTGCAACATTTTGGAAATTACAAGTATATTTTTTTGTAATTTTTAAAACCACGAGAAATTTTCAGCGAATTTGTAAAACCACAGGGTTTTTTTACTATTTTGCCTTTTAATTATGCTTTTTTGTATTTTATATTACCGCTTATATCTTTTTGTACTGAATTTTATAATATATATATGTTGGTTTTTATTAACATTGCGTTTATCTATATTTAAATGAAAAATAGATGTCAATCAAAATGATGCTAACGTGTTTTATTGACAGTGCTACAACACATACAATATTAAAAATACGAAAAATATTTTCTCATTTAAAAAGAAAAAAAAAAGATAAATGTCAATACAATAAGTGGAATTACAAAATTAATTGAAAGCTCTAGAAAAACTATTATATTTCTTTTTTTTGGGAAAAAATTATGATACAACGTGCATTGTTGGTCACTAAAGCTCGAAGAAATTTACTGAGCTTTTATTATATTCAACAAAATGATTATCACATTGAAAAAATGAGTAATACCAGCCGTGAATTTGTATTGATCATTAATATTCTGACAAAAATAAATAAATCATTAAGAGATTATTCTTACTCTCTATTCGTTTATATTATATTATATTATGTGTTATTGAAACACACCTCATAAATATCAAAAGTCTATTGATTTTTCAAATATAACATAATCGTCTTGGGCATCCTAATAGTATAGTGATGAGGCGGATAATTAAATTTGCATGGTCCTTCGTTAAAATGTCAGAAACAGTAAAAACTCAAATGAATAAACTTGTATATCATGCAATTATCAAAAGTTGATAATCAGACCATCACTGGCTAAAGTATGTAGTAAATCACCTATATTTTTAGAAAAATACACGAAAAATATATGTGGATCGATAGACTCACCATGTGGACAATTCAAGTATTTAATGGTGTTTAATGCATCAACCAAATAGTCTCATGTTTGCTTATTATCTACTCATAATATTAATATTTGAGATTGTTCATCCAAATTATTAAATTAAGGGCACAATTTTTCGATAATCCAATTAAAACTATTTATCGGGAAAATGCTAATGAATATTTTTTGAATGCATTTTATAATTACATACATGTGGATTGGAATTAATATAAAGCACCTAGTTGCATAATGTATAAATTGATAAAATAAAATACTAACTAAATATTATGCAACTAGGTGCTCTATATGATATTTTAATTATAAAAATAATTATTAATATATGAAACTAAATATGAAAATACTAACTATTTTATACAATTATAATTTTTTTCTTTTAATTTTTTTATATCGTTAATATATACATAATGTATTATATTAAAAAAATATTATTATATAAAATTTTTATTAAATAAAATAATAAATTTATTAATGTAAAAAAAATGAATTACACTAAATTTTGTTCTATGATATATTAAAAAAATTGAATGATTTTTAAGTTGATATAATACAAGATGATAGAGAAAAAAACTCAAACGTACGCAAAAGGAGTTCTTGCATTATACAAGGTAATGGAATAATGAGTCCAAGACTTAATACAAGAATGTTGTATTGGTTTTAGGCTTTGGTGCTTTGAAGATTCAATAAAGCATATTCATATGTATATTTGTTGAAAAATAAGTTGCAGTTTGTATTTGATTTTGGTCCATATTTGCAGATGGTTTGATCAATGAACAAGGTTCAATAGACAGACGCAACTCAATTTGATTTGAGTCCAATCAAACAAGAAGATGACCCAAAATTGATCAAATCAAATGAAGATTCAAGAAGAATTTATTGAGAGTTATTGAGTGGCTGATCCCATGTGTAGGGAATAACAAGATTCAGTTGTAACAAATTTGATTTCATGTGGATGATGTAACAAAAAGTTTGTTAGGTTGAAGAATATTCTAAAGGTGAGAGAAGAGAAAAAAAAATACAAAATGAAGAAGAGGAATAAATACAATATAGCAGCAAACAAGAAAAGGGTGGAAGCTCCTGCATAAATGAGAAAAGGGTGAGGGAAATTTAATAGAAAAATCATGATGTAATTGTTAGGTAATATGAGGAATTGGATGCGATGATAGTAGCAATGTTTTGGTAGATTATCTCAAAGAATAATAGATTAGCAAAGACAAGGTGAGCGGTGGTGAGATTAGAGACTAAAAAATCTTTCGAGGGAGGAAAATAAGATTTCTGAAGGTCGAATCTCATAATGCTACTCTTTAAGCTCGATTTGATTCATGATGAATTGAATTAGGCTTAGGTTGGAACTCTTCAGACGTAAGTCGTCGATGACCGGACTAGATTATCAATTGTTCTCTATTTTTTGTTCTCATCGTCACCAGTCTGTGCATTCACAGTCCGATCGAATAACAAACAACTAATCCGAATTTATAGTCTAGTTGTGGAATCTGCCTCTGTTGTTGTTGTGTGTGTTCTTGGTGTTGAGATATTGCTTTTGTTTGGTTTTGAGCGAATTTAGAGCAAAAAATACTAGTGTTATATAATAAATAATACTCTCTTCGTGACTGTTTAAAGTCTACATAGTGACTTTCGCAATTTGACGAAATATGATTTATTTGGGTTTGATTTGTATGCATCGATGTATTGAATCTTTTAGAAATTTTTATTTAAATAATATTAGCATCCAATGAGTCATAAAGATGTATAATAAATACGTCTAAAAGAAGTGTGTCGAGATTTTCTCGCACTTCTTGGCTCACAAGATATCTAAATAGTATTCTATCGATAATAGAAAAGTACGTTTCATCAAAATCCACCAAGTCTTTGTGACATTTCCTGAGCTACAAAACAAAATTTATATCTTACAGTTTCATTAGTCTCATTTTTTTTTGTACAATTACCATTTGTATCGCGTTGATTTTATACCATATGGTGTTTGAACGATTGGTCTAAACTCTATTTTATTTAATGGTCAAACTTTAATTAAATCTCAGAATTTTGTTTTTGGCCAATAATTTCTTTGCCGACATTCATGAATCGATTTTTACTTTGGATTCTCCTTTTTACTGTGAATATATTATCAATTAATTGCCTCTATATGGTTCCAAAATATTGAAGTAACATAGTTGATTGAGTTTTCAATAATTTCATTATGTTCTTTAAGACCTCTCTTCTAGAGTAATTATTTTAGTGTTAATTTCCTCATTAGATTGAAGTTTGTTGTCAATCTTGATATTTTTATGATTATCATCATCCATTCTTTTTTATTTGAACTATGTTTGCCTTTGAAACTGAGTGGTCTGTTACGCTTTAAATGTGTAGCTTATTCATTAGCACTTGTAATTTGTTTATCAGAGACAATTATTTTAGCAAGAGCATTAGCCACTTGAATATAAGTTCGAGTGACTTTACTAGAGTCATTGAATGCATCCGGTACTTGATTTGCAATATTTTGAAAATTTATAATACGTTAAACTTCTAGTTCACACTGTTTTGTATGAGGATCATATACCTTCACAGGGATTTTCTAATTAATATCTATTTTCGATTCATTGTTATCTCCCATAAATATCGGAAAATATGATCGTCAAAATGACAAATGCAAATCTTGCAGTGAATAAATCACCCGTCATAGGTTGAAGATAGTTTAGACTTGACAAAGATTCATATTCGATATAAATGTTCAATCTACGTTGATGACCTATTTTTATACGTTTGAAGGGTGGAATAGGAATATAAACATCATGCCAAAATATACGTAGATGAAAAATATTTGGTTCATGAACAAATACTAATTGTATTGGGGAACACCTATGATAGCTTGTCGGATTTATGATTTTAAGTGTTCTTACATATAAAATTGTATGCCCCAAGCTGAAATCGGCAATAAAGACCTCATTAATAATAATCTAGAAATTATTTGCAATATTTTAATAAGTGGTTCTGCCAAGTGATTTCAGAACATGAGCAACTAGGTGCTCTATATTAATTCCAATCCACATATAGTAATCATAAAATGCTTTCGAAAAATATTCACCAGTATTTTTCAAATAAATAATTTTAATTGGATTATTGAAAAATTGTACCCTTAATTTAATCATTTGGGCAAACCGTATTTAATTAGTATTTTCATATTTAGTTTCATATATTAATAATTATGTTTATAATTAAAAACTATATTTATAATTTTATATAGAATGTTATTGAATCTATATGTTATTTTAAAAAATAAATCAATATATTTTTCTATTCTCCATATGGAGGAGAAAAAAGACAAGGATCATAGTATTCTTATGTAATAACGATTCTTAAAAATTTTATCTTAAAAAAAAATAATTATATGGCAAAACCACATAGGAATAATACGCTATTCTTAGAACCTATGACCATATGATTATAATTTGTTTTTGTTGAGATATTTTAGATATTCAGTTTTAGATTTAGTAGATTTATATCTAGATTTGATCTTATTCATAAGTTAGATTACTTAGATTTGAGTCCATCGAATCTATTTTGTATTGCCTATACATAGGCTCCTTATTTTTATGATAAATAAGACAATCTCATTATTTTTCCCCAATATTTCTAACATGATATCAAAGCCTATTTTTCTCATGCCGTAGATATAGCCTACCAACCGTGTTTCTCCGGCTACAGGTCTTGTGATTTTGAGAAGATCTTGTGATTTTGAGATCATGTATTTGCAAGTTGTCTTTTTGCAAATCTGTCTCGTTTTATCTCCGATATGCCATTTGTCTGTTGCTTGTCTGTTGCCTGTGTGTAATCTGAAATCTTCGCTGCTTGTCTGTTGCCTATGAACGATCTGAAACGATCTGCCATATGTCCATTTTCTGTCTGTTGCTGCGTGCGATCTGCCATCTATCGTTGTCTGTCTGTTGTTGCGTGCGATCTGCCATCTATCGTTGCATGTCTGTTGCCCGCATGCGATCTGCCATCTTTCGTTGCTTATTTGTTACCGGAAATCTGTCTATGATCTGTCATCTGTCCGTTGTTTGTCTGTTGCCTGCGTGCGATCTGATCTGTCTGATGTTTGCGATTTGTCTGTTTTCGGCTCCAGTGGAGTCATATCGTTTTCGGCTTCAGTGGAGTCATGTCGTTTTAGGCTCCGGTGGAGTCATGTCGTTTTCGGCTTCAGTGGAGTCATGTCGTTTTAGGCTCCAGTGGAGTCATCTCGTTTTTCGGCTCCAGTAGAGTCATCTTATTTTCGACTCTGGTGGAGTCATCTCGTTTTCGACGGCTCCGGTGGAGTCATCTCGTTTTCGGCTCAGGTGGAGTCATCTCGTTTTCGGCTCCGGTGGAGTCATCTTATTTTCGGTTCTGGTGGAGAGTCATCTCGTATTCGACTTCGGTGGAATCATCTCGTGTTCGACTTCGGTGAAGTCATCTCGTTTTCGGCTCCGGTGGAGTCATATTGTTTTCGGCTCCAGTGGAGTTATCTCGTTTTTTGCTCCGGTGGGTGGAGAGTCAAGTGGTATAACAGAAACCAACTTGAGTTTGATGGGGGATGTTGAGATATTTTAGATATTCAGTTTTAGATTTAGTAGATTTATATTTAGATTTGATCTTATTCATTGATTAAATTAGTTAAATTTGAATTCATCGAGTCTGTTTTGTATTGCATATATATAGGCTCCTTATTTTGATGATGAATAAGACAATCTCATTATTTTCCTCTAAAATTTCTAACAGTTTTTGTCATACCAATTCAACTTCTTTTTACGATGTAGTTTATATATATATATATAATGTAAGAATTTGCAGTCGCTATTCGATGAATGTATTTTGGATAAATTTTTCGATTTAACATAATAGTCTGCAAACTAAATCCGATAAAACAAGTCATAGTAGGCTAACCATGTGGAGCAAGCAAAACCTGGAGGCGTCGGGATGTGTAGATGTGTGAGTGGGTGTGTAAGTGACCGAAAGAAATAACTATTATATGATAACAATGTATTGTGCATATAAAATAGTATGACTGCTTTGTCGGACCTAGTTTACAAGCTATTAACTTCGATCGAAAATTTATTTATAAAGGACTCAAAAAATAGCAGCGGCAGATTACTACATTATAAAATAAATAAATAAAATTAAAAATAAGGTAGTGTATAGACTATTTTATATATCGTCAGTATTTTATTTGTATTCTATAATAGTTTGGTCATTATTTCAGCAATCAAAAACATCACGCAAAGCATGTAAAAATCATGCAAATTTAAAATCAAAACACCCTTAAAAAAAATAAAAAAATAAAAAAAAAATTGAAAAATAAAGATTGATCATCAATAAACACAGCTGCATATGAACTCAAACAAATCTGTTGAAGGGCTTTCTCCCAACTGCAGCAGGCATGGAGATCGCCGAATCCACGCTGAAATCTCCGATCGAACGCCGATGTTTCGCTGCCGTCGCCGCCGCCGCTTTCATCTCCGACGAAGCTTCCGCGCCGCCTTTTTTCAACGGCGCTTTACTAGTCCACTTGATCGAGCCAATGTTCGAAACCAACGGCAACGAAAACCTCCTCTTCGAATCGTTAAGCGGAGTCCCAACCGGAAGCCTCTCCTTCGGATTGCTCGTTGCTCGCGACTTCGCCTTCGCCTTCGCCGAGACCGTCGGGCTCATATAGTTCGGCACCGAAAATGCCGGGCAGCTCGTGAGGCTGTCGTCGTCTCTCATCGGGGTGTCGTCCGGCGGAGGCGTCCGATATTGTTTGCCTCCGTCTACGATGGTTGTCGACATTGGCGACGGTGACACGGTTGAGTCGCGATTGCCGCGATTGTTCGGTTGAGATTTTGGTCTGTTGTGTGGAATTAGCATTGGAGAGGTTGTCGACGCAGCGATCTTCGCCTGAGAGGTGCTCGTTGGAGGCGGCCGTGGCTCGGACCAGCTCCACCACCACGGGAACCCGTTGGATCGAACGTCGTCGTCGAGAGGATTTACGCCAGATATCGCATTTGTTCTCCATAGTTTGTGAGAGTATTGATAGGCCATGGCTCTTTCCCTCTTCGCGACCCCCTCGACTTTCTTCCGTCGCCTCGCTTCGATTTCTTGTTTCGTTAGCATGCTATCGTCCCATTCGCCGTTGCGCGCACTCGTGGCCTCCGACTATAAAAAAAAAAAAAAAAAAAAAAAAACACCGCGACAATTAGCGAGAGCTAATGTAAGTATACCGAACAATGCATTGGATAGATCTGACAGCGTATACTAATGTTTTATACAGCATGTACTGTTGTTATATTTTCATATGCTATTTATAATATTTTCATTGGCTGATTGGGGAAATCAGTATTCGCTGATAAATTCTCAATCAGCACCCTAACCGAAACGCTTAAGCAAGACATGTTCGAAACTCGATTTCTTTACGTCGAAAAAAAAAAAAAAAAAAAAAAAAAAAAAAAAAAAAACAGACCTCGACAGTATCATTACATCGATAGAGCGTCTGGCTTTCGATTGCGCTCATCCGTCGCGATCGAATCTGCGTTTGAATCCTCACCAAAAGCTGCATTTGCTTCATCGCGTTCATCGTCTGTTGCTTTACGTTCTCGCTTCTCACGACTCCTTGAAGCCTCACCAAGCCTCTCAAAGCTCGGAAGTTCCTCCTCGCCTGAAAAATCGACACAGTACTCGCGCTAAAAGCCGTCGTCGTAAAGATCCTCTTCGACAACTAAACGAAAATAAGTCGAACAAATTACCAGGTAACCTCTCAATGCAGCTTGGATTTTAATGGCTGCCAAAGCTTTCCTATTTCTCACAATTGGATCAAACATCTGCAAATGGTTAGCTTCCCTCTGTCTTTGAGTTACCTTATTCAGCCATGACGAAGTTCCGCCTCGCGGAGCAGAAATCGACGGAAAAGAATCGATCCTCGAAGAAGAAACTTTATCAGCTTTGAGGAAATTCGCATTCTTCGATTGATGAAAATATGTCGTCGTCGGAGGCTTGATTAGGAGATGATCGGCTTCGCCTAATATTTTTTCGACGCTGCTCGGCTCTCGGAACAGAGGAATGAATGATCTGGCCTCTCCATGGCTGAGAATTCCTTTGCCTTTCTTTCTTTCTTTGCTGCTGTAAAATTTGTCATCTGATGATCCCTGTTTTTGGACAAGAGATTATTAATCTTGTAACAAGATTGATTTTTTAATGTTTTTTTTTGTTTGTGTGCAATAAATTCCATCGTCTGACTTACGTTCGATTCCCTGTCCTTTGTAAAGACTCTTTTGATTGCTGAGAACCAGCTGCCTCCCTTCTTGCCCATTATTTTTTCGATATGAATGAAAACTACACACTTAGAAATTTTAAAAATGTATTCTTGTGTCGAAAACTCATCGAATCGAAGGCATCCGTGTGAAACCCGAAAGAGAAAGTGTCTTAAACTTCGATAGAAATTAAAATGGACAAAGAATGAAAGAACAAGAGCAAGCATACTTGTTCATCGTCGCCCGGAGAATCGAAAGAGATCAAGAACTTCGTCGAATGCAATGCCGAAAATTCGATTTCGACAAACTTTTAAAACATGTTATTACCTCCTTATTAACTAGCTAGTTGTCTCTCCAAGCTTCAAAATCCTACAAGAAAAAGGCTGTAATAAGCTGTTTGAATTAAATGGAATGCCTTCATCCTATGATCTCTTCTTCTACCCTCTCCAAAATAATTCAAAAATTTGAAAAATCCCATAAATATTTCTTCTTTGAATTGGGGAAAAGAGTGTCACTTTATTTCCCTTCTGGCCTCTCTCTCTCTCTTCTCTCTCTCCCTTAAAAAAAAAAAAGAAAAAAGTTTAGATTTTGTGTCATTATTTTTGAATGTTTTGAATTCAAGATTGAGTTGGGGGTGATGATGATTGACGATGTGAAGCCTTATGCTTAGATTTTACTTTGGGTAAGAAAGAGACCACATTGGCCTACTACACATATTATGTTTAATTATTAATTATTAATTTATTATATCGAGGGGACAAACCTGTAGATTCATCAATGGCTGTTAAAATTTCCCCAAGATTCAATTTTTTGTTTGTCAACTGATTTTATCAATTCTCTCAAAGTGGAAGGAAACTTTTTCCTTGTATCCCACTTTGTGTAAACATTCTTGATCATTTATCCACCTCTCAAATTTCACATCTCCATTCTTGGATTTTGGAATGACAAGACATATATTTTGCATTAGAAATTAGGGTTTTCTCAAACAATTTAATTTGGGATGGTATAAAATTATATTAGTAGTTATATCGAGAACTTAACTATGGTTCATTTAAGATATTACTTATGAAACTTGCTCTTTATTCACATATCCAATACAAGTTTGTTTACTTTTTTTTCTTTCTTTTATTTTCGATCTTTTTACATTAAATAGTTATTGGATATGATAATTTATAGAAATTACAATTTGATGTAATTTTATTTTAAAAAGACCGAGGGATTGAATGGTAAAGATTTGTTATAATTTATAAATACACAAAGTAAACATGCACTGTTAATTTTTTATAAAAAAAATATATACTATATTCGTCCGGTTTCAAGGACCTCATCTATTTTTTTTTTGTTGATTTTTTAATATTAATTATTATATCAAAATGTAGTACAAGAAAAATTACAAAAATATTTCCATTATTGTCTTATAGAAGAACATTTGTAAAAAAAATATATATAGAATATTTTTAATGTTAAATACAATGGTAAATGTGAGCGTTAGAGGCGGACAAATATATATTTTTTATTTAAAATTTTATTATTTTGAAAGTAATTTAAAATACCAAAACATCCAAAACACCTACAAGGGTAGCCTTATTTCTATTTCAAATATGAAGAGCAAAAGACTTAAAATAAAGAATAATCAAAACTCGACAAGGAGGGAGGATTTAGTAGGTAAGAAGTTGGCCAGTTATAGCCCATAGGGTCACCTTCAACCCAACCAACATTTCTTCCTTCAATAAGAAGACTATAATAATATATGTGCATAAATATAAATATATATATATATATATATTTATATTTATATATATATGGTATTATTGTCCAACTCTTCCACCAACTTTTAACTACATAATAAGTCAAATAAATATATGGTTCAACTTTCACTTTTGCTTTCTTCATTAAGTATGTTATCTTAGCCCTTAGTATAAAGTACTAAGTTGGTGTGGCAATGATTTGTATTCTGCTAAATATATTTTTAAAATGAATAATTAAAGAAGCAAAGGTTGAAAAATGCCCATGTCATTTGACACCAACAGGGAATTTAGGAATTGATGGAATTTTGATATATTTTAGACCGCGTAAAAGGTTTGATTATTAAATTTTTAGCTGAGACGGTCATTTATTTCATCTATCATGTATCAAAGTCTTTAAGTGTCAAATTTATAGAGGAAATAAATGGATTAAGTAGATTTTAAAAAAGGATGTGAATTGACTGAAAAATGGTTTAGTCAAGACATTAATATACAACAAAGTACAAAATATTGAATGATGCTTCTAAGAAGTTTTTTACAATGCAACAATTTTAAATATATATATGTGTATGTATATAGCCTATTTATTCCTTAATTTTTACATAAATAAATAGCGTCGAAAGGAAAATTTGGGGTATGTTTCTTTACTCGAGTTTCTCTAAATTTTATTATTTTGACTCTGCGTTTCCCGAACAAAAAAACTATATATTTTTTTCTCTCACAAAATATTCCATCAAACATTATTTTTATACCAAACTCAAACTAATTTTTTTCCAAACTCATCAAAAGAAACAAACACCAAGTAAATAAGTAGAGTTCTGTCACCATTAATTACAAAGTACAAACTATAGATAGGCACAAAAAGCTAAAGCAAATAGTTATTGAAATAAGTCACCAAACATGAAGCATAATTTAATTTTTAAGCAGTCTATACCTAAAAACACAATAAAACTCCAACAAACTTTACACAATGCTGGAAGTTTTTCTTCGTACCTTTTCAACTGCTTTATTTGGCTATAGATTGGATACAGTCTAAACAGCTCACACCTCAAAGATAAGAGTCGGAACTTCAGAGAGTTCATAACTACACCGGATATGCATACCCTCGGAGGTAAGTTGAATCAACACCCGATTCCCGTACCAATGCCACCCTACCAGTTCGTGCCACCTTACAAAAGTAATCATGAGCATTAGTTGTTTTTATGTAAAAATTTTCTCGAAAGCTTGCTAGCTTTCAGCATATTCGATAATTATTAAACTTTGTTGCTAGAAGGAACAAGAATAACAAAAAAAAAAAATGTAATTGAGTTATGTGATTTAGAATATTATAGCCCAAACTACAGGAGCCGAAACTTTAACCCACAAATGACAGATATGTAGTACTTTCAAGAGACTGCATTATTATGATAAGTACAAGCAAAATTAACGGGCAAGGGATACATTACATGCCAGGTGAAAAAAGAATCACAAAATATTAAGTATGAAAAATATACCTCACAAATTCCGTAAGGCTCCAACAACCTTTGCAAGGCAACCATCTTGTCTAAATCACCGGTCAGCTGTGGAGAAAGTAAAGAAAAGGAATTCAAGAGATCAAGAGGGCGCAAGGATTAAGTGTGCACTGTACAGGCATACACAAGCTATATTCCCTCCATAAGAAGGTCTCATTCAAATCTACTATTAATGTAAATAAAAATCAATAGGTCTCATTGCAAAGTTGTACGTAATATTCATTTCTGAACTATAGAATGTTCATCTTCATTAAAAAACCACTTGGATTGAGCCTGTAAACTTAAACTTGGACAATCTAGTTTTTACAAGCACTAACCTCCAACTTTTTCAACCCTCTTTCATTAAAGTGCACAATCTTAAATATCATGCATTTCATTCTTTGGTATCTAAATATGATTATAGGCTGATCCACATATCAAGTTGCTCAACATCAAGAAAAGAAAACAATTCATACATAGGTTAATTTATTCAAAACACCAAATCAAGTTTCTTGTACTAAGATGCAGTGTAAGGACAAATGTACAATAATTGTTAGGTCATCAAAAACTAGACTAGTGTACAAGTATTATACAATGCTTGCCTATGATTTACCATTAGGTTAAGTTAATTTTAAATATTGTTGGGACTCGGAATATTATTACTGATTCTGTTTCTCCAATTATTCTTACAGAGAAGTAACAAAATTTGGAAAATTTCACAATCTTTTCCCAACTATGCCAGTAAAATAAATTTTCTTCACAAATTAAAACGTTAACATTGTCAATTTTTGACAAAGAAAGTCATAACCTAATATATTAATCACAAATAACTTCACCAAACCCAACCCATAAGCAATCCTACTTCAAATGTAAATTATAATACGTTAATGGCTTCAGGTAACACTTTAAAGCCTTAAAAATCTTACCTCAAGGGTGATAGTGTGATCAGAGACATCAACGGCTTTTGCTCTAAATATACTGGCAATATCAAGAACAGTGCGACGAGCAGCAGCATTCACAGCAATCTTGATCAGCATCAGTTCCCTTTCGGCAAAAGGTAAGTGCGTGAGATCCTGTACCTGAAGATTTGGAGCTCATCAGTCTTGTCAGTGTTGAGAAGCAAACTAATCTTTGAGATAATGTAGAAACAAATTGTGATGGAAGCTACTTGACCCTAATTTTTAAGTGAAGAAAAATATAGATGATAAGCAAGCAAGTTGTGTGATTGTGTCATAAAGGTAGCTGTTTATAACCACAACTTCATACGACAACGGGATTCAATAGTATAATGATGTTTAAAATGAATGTGGATTAACAAGCATCACATTCAGGATACAAGTGGCAAGATTGCCAATTAGCCATAAGATATTGTGTTCGAAATAAATATGGCACCAATCAGAAAAGCTTCAAAGCAGGTAGTTGTAGACCAAAGCACACATTAATCCTTCTCATTGCAATAACTCTGAATGCCCTCTTAAGGCCTTCTTGTTGATGCTGTACTTCCTTTTGATGACATTTATAAATTAAATTATTCAAGAATACTAGATTCACACGGCTTACAAAAATCTTGCCAAAATTAATATGGTCAATCCTCTTACCTTATGAACATCCAACAACTTATAAAGTTGTTGGACTAACTTGCTAATTGATTCATCTGTACCAGGAACAACAGTGGTAATGCGTGAACACCCCTCAACTTCAGCATGGCCAACAGCTAAACTCTAAGGATAAGAAAAAATGATGGGTGACTCAAACTAAGTAGTCCTCGAAGACTAAAAGGCATAAAGTAATGTGCAATATATACCTGAATATTATACCCTCTCCGAGCAAAAACCCCTGTGACAAGGTTAAGGACTCCAGGAGCATCATTAACAACCATTGAAAGAGTGTGAGAACGAAATCCACTAATCTGCAAGCTTCAAGCATGATCATAAGAGAACTACAAGAGAAGATGCTAATGGAAACCAGTAACAATACCATTTATTTAACAGTAGCCTGACCAACCAGGATATGTTTCATTTTATTTTTGCAAATGAATATGTTCCTTATTAGATAGAAAGGGAAGGGTAATTATCATTTTGTAGATGTGTTTGAAATTGTAGGTAAATTGATGCATTGTCCAATAATTTGGATATAACCCGCTCCAGAAAACTCTTATCACATGTGTTGAAGAACTGGATATTTACCTCATTCAGCATTTAGGATATGAGAAAAGAACTGAAGATAGTATCATCAAGGACAACATGATGTGAACATTTACCAAAAAAGTCAACAAATTCTTACATCTTCTTCATTCAGAACCCCCCAGTGAGCATCAAGAACTTGATTCACAGAAGCATCGTAAGCTGACTCCACAGGGTAAACATCTCCCTTCACAAAATAAACACATACCTTGTAAATTTGAAACCCATACTAGACAAAGATGAAAAATTACCATCAAACATATCAGAAATGACAACATCAGAAATTCAAAGATCTGCATATGGTCAAGAATCAAGATACAAAATATGCCATTGCAATCTGTAGTCTAAGCTTTAACACAGTGACAAACTTGAATATTATTATTCCTCATTCACAAGAATGCTATGGTTAGTTTAACTATCATGAATTGTCATGGTTATTTTAACTATCATGAATTGGAGTTATGTATATAACCATTGATTTAGTTCCTAGGCAACCTTGCCAACCTTTGTGTGGTTGGCTTGCACAAAGCTAGATTCATGGGGAGTGTTTGACATGCATCAGGTCCAAGACATGATCACGATGGAAGGGTTTACTTTTTCAAATTGCATATGAGCAAGCATCTAGAGATGGCTTGGTTCAAGTTAAGTCACACCCTAACAGCACATTTCAATGATAGACATACTCAAGTCCAAATGAATGTTAGCATTATTCAGACGCCAAATGAGTGGATACCTTCGTTCTAGTGTTAGTTAAGGACCACAATTGAAGGAGCTTCTAAAATGGGTTGCAATACCACATGCATAATAAACAACAAATTTCAATCTTCAAGAACCCTGCACAAACTGGAGAAAGAGGCTGGGCAAACCAGCAGCACTAACCAAAGAAACAACCTAAATATTAGCATCCAAAAACTGATAAGATTAAGTAAATCTGAATCCTTGTACTTAGATGGAACACAATTATTGATAAGAGTATTAGAGTTGACAACTAACTTATCAAGTGGAAAGCCAAAAACTTGAGCATTACTGTTTGAGCGACTCTCACCCAAACAATTTTGGCAGCCATCTCATTTATGTCACGTCTCTATTCAAAATCCCAATAGATGTCCTTCGCCTGGAAACAAGATCAGGGTTGTATTTAAGGGTGATCCCCAAGGCAAGTGGAAAAATGTGCCTTACTAGTTGGGATAAAATGTGTTCAAATAGGAGATTTGGTGATCTGGGAAGTTCGCTCCAAACATCAGCGAACCCTTAGTACGCTTGGCATTTTCAGGAAGACTAGGCGCATTTGAAAATAGTCATTTGCAACAAGTATGATTACATTAGGTTCTATTTGACTCTTACAGCAATTGGATGGGTGGAAATAAGTAAGGTTTAGGGTAGTGCTTTCAAAAGACATTTCAGACTTCGGCTCAGGAATGGCCAAAACATTAGATTAAGGAACTTAAGGTAAGCCTTTGAAAGTTTCTTTCAAGAGCATATTTGTTATGGTCTTATAAATTGGGCCTCATATGAGACTTCAGCCACTGGGTCAATGTTCATACTTCATTGGCAATGAGTCATCAAGTTTAGTCGGTGGTTCTTTGACTGGGAATGTACACTATGGGAGGAGTTCTCCAAGGTCCAATCCACCATCACTTCTCCACACCCAACTCACCTGACAATCCAGACTGGTGTAGCAACTTGACCATTGTCCTTTCTTTCTACACCCACCAAGACAACCTCAAGACTACAAACTAGGCTTCATAGTTGTCTTAGCTTAGCTCATTATCAGGCCTATGTGGTTTGGATAATGCATTCCAATTTTGTTCAGTTACCCAGGGGGATTTTCTTAGGAAAGAAAAAACAAATTTAGATTAGAAGATAATACAGAGCTAATGCCCCTGGAAAGGAAGGAACCAATTATAGCCTTGGAGGTTTAGACTTCAGAGTGGTCCTTAGAATTCGTGAGCATTCATTAACTTTATGTCTTGTGTTTTGAATGGCTGCAGCTTGGGACCGGCCAATTTTTCCATCTTGATTAATAAACTTTTATTGAAACCTAAAAGAAATTACTTAAGGTTTCAAAGCATTTCTTGTCAGGTATCCTAACCTAAAGCTAGAAACCTATTTAGCAAGAGTTATAAACAATACTAATGGAGAGCAATAAAATATGTCAGATGCCCCAGGAATAAGAATCTCTTTTAAAATTTCTTCGTGGAGTTTGCTGCTCAATGACAATAGAATTGCATGTAAACAGCACTAGGTATATAGCCCATTTGTTCAATTTATCTTTTCGTCCTAAATATGTAAGCATTTGTGATATTACATGATGTTGTAAAAGTCATGGCAATTAGGTGCAAGAAGAAACAGACTCAAGCAAAACAAAAATAGGAAAATAGTTCAAAACCTTTCCACAACTTCTCAAAATGCCAAATGTATTTTGTTAGGAAATTCAGGATGAAGTTGTTATGAGAAATATATTAAGGAAGATACGACAAAGACTTCATATAACATGCTTTAAGACTGCTTAACTATCATACCCCAGCAGATGTATTAGACTCTCCAGTGGGAGTTTGTCGTATAGTCCTTGCGACAGTATTTGCAGGCCTTGTTTCTTCAAGATCTGGATATGAAGCCGCTGAGAACCGCCAAAACGGAGCAGATTCACCCATCTTTTCTCTTCTCAAGGCAATCTAAATCGAAAGCAAAAAGGCATAATTGCATCCTTTAGAATACGAAACAAAATATTACAAGAAAAAAGACATTTTATTCATTTTGTATTTACTTTTCCGGTCCTGGCAATCTCTCTTATACCAAATTTACTCAAATTCCTTTGCACTGCAACCATCTTCCCAGGATCCCCTGTCACCTATGTGCATTATATTAGAAAATTAAACGGTAAGTCAGTGTGACACATTTGATTTGCTAGTAGTATGTCCACAATACCAACAACAGTTCCAATATAAGTGTCATAACAGGCTATGCTCACAAACTTATGCATCAAACAACATCATTAGATTATATGTACAAAGGCATTTTCATTATCTAGCACAGTTTCCATATGCAGGATGCATGGTGTGAATAAACATATGATTGGTCTGTTGTCACCCTCTACTCTTTGTGGATTCGAGATAAAGGACACCTGAAGTGTGTAAGTAAAGTTTCCAGAACCATTATTGGTACTTTAAAGGAAGAATTGAAACGAAAACTTCAGGGTGCCTGTTACATCAAGGTTTTGAACAACTGGTTCAAATTCTGGCTCTAATATAGATAGGGTTGCTGCTTCAATTTCAAAATTGAATTTATATCTATTAATTAAAACTTTGAAAAGTTAAACAAATGAAAGTAGTAAAAACACAATCTTAATTGAAAGAGAGAGAGTGAGACAACAACCAAAAACAGGAAGCAAATGATAAGTGTATTAAATATATTTTGTAGAATGTGTCAAATTAAAAATAAACAAATAGATAAACAAATCCATTTTTACAATGAATTCTTAAAATACACTAATACCTGTTATCTTTCAATATGAATATTTTCTATATGCCATCAAATTTACATGGATCCAAAACATAAGCAATTCAATATATTAAATGAATTCAATAATATACAAGACACTTATTTGTATATTACTAATATTATGGTGTACAATATAATCTTTCGGATAAGACCCTTTCAACCAAAATATCATCTTAATAAAAACATAGTGAGACATTAATTACAGATACTAAAAGAAAACGTATTATGTTGAAAATTTGAAACTTCAAGCATACCAAAATAAACAATCTAATGAGTTAAGTGTAATTCTATACTTCAATAATTACTTAAAAAAGATAACATCACTTAAATGAATCAGCAACATCAATTATGGCTCCACCTACAGGAAAATCAGAAGAGAACTTTGTGAGCTGATTCTGGCTAAGGCGTAAAATGGAAATTTGAACACCTCTGCACATGACAGTTTATAGGAATGTTCTCAAGTCATATGATTACTAAATGGTGATGCACACGTTGTGTACCTTCAACCTAAAAGGTTACAGATATGTTTACCGATTCATTATTAGATTTTTGAAGACCAATTACCATTTTTTAATCAGTTATCAGTACTAAGTTATGGAAGGTGACAGTTGTCAATCAACATGTTGGAATTTGGTGTCCCAAAGGTAAACAAAAACATTATATTTCTTATTATGTGACTAAGGCACTAAATTTTTTGCCACAGGGGATAGAATCGTTGAGGGGAACACAAAGGAGAAGCTGGTTACAATAAATGAGCATCCGCATCAAATAAATAAGTTGGACTGTGCTATGACCCAAAGATCAGAGCACATGGACAAACCTAGAGAGTCAGTGATATGAAATGGACAATAGAGCGTGAGTGTGCATGTGTAGATTGTGGGTACACATTAATAGGATAACCTAGAAGAGATAGAAGATAAGTTACTACAATAATTCAAATTCTGACTCATGTAATTAGTTATCACCTCAATTGTTAGTGAGTAATCAGAGATGTCCACAATTTTTGCCCTGAAAATGTCCACTAGCCACATGACCTGAGGAATAGAGGCAAAATAATTAATATTTACTATAAAAAGGAAACTTGAAATAGATCATGAATATAACAAGCCTGCAATCCCCTGTTACTGTATAAAACAAGTGCCCCCCAAGTAACGAAGAAATCAAACAATTAAGATGCAAAGAAACAATGATGAACACCTCAACACGGTATCTTGGGTCTGCATCAATTTTTATGAGCATTAATTCACGCTCCACTTGTGGCTCCTTTGAAATGTCTTCAACCTGGTTCTCAATTATTGACAAACAAATAAGCAATCCACTAAAACAGTAGTAAAAGTAAATGCATAATTGATAAAATTCTGAAGTAAGCAGAGAGCAGCAATCAGCTTAGTTAGAGCATTGTGAATGATCAAATATAAGATCATGACCTTCAATACATTCACAAGCTTCTGGAGCTGCTTCATTACTTGTTCTAACACTTTTTCAGTTCCAGATACAACTATTGTGAAAAGAGCCTTATCCTTGTTAAGTCCCACAGCAAGAGATTCAATATTATATCCTCTCCGAGCAAAAACTCCCGCAATTCGATTAATCATTCCACTTTCATCACCAACAAAAACTGAAACAGTATGGCGCTTGATCCTGGAAAGACATAAATGAAAGCAAATAATGTTACGTATATGTCCCAGAAGTATCTCACAACAAAACCATATCTTAAAGGAACAAAGATAATAACTTTAAACAATAAATAATTATAATGAAACATATTTAACTGGGATATGGAAAACAAGATCATCATTGTCACGCATCAAACTATACCTTAACCAAAATATATATATATATATATATATACAAATGATAATATAATAACAATAATGTTTCTTATAGACAGGAACCAAATTCAACGCTATTCAACCCAAAAGCAATACTTTGGTCGAATTCTAGAATCAAAGTTCCCAACTATTCCAAGACAATTTACCATCCAAAATGTAATAAGTTCGTTCAAGAAATAAGATGTTATCAAAAGAACGACATAAAACAAGAAATTGCCACATTCAAAGCCCTCGTCGTGTATCAATTCATTCATATAGCTCCAAATCACAAAATTTAAGTGCAGATGTTCATCAGAGTCCAAACATCAAAGAGAAAAACTTAATAGAAACTGCAAACAAGAAATGCACTTTGTTGCAGCGGTTGAATTGGTCGCGGCGGCGGCGGCGAGAGGAGAATCTGTAACGGAAAGAGCGGCGTCGTTTTGCTGTTTACTATCCCCATTCCCAGCAATTTGAGCAGAAATTGCAGCACTCCTTTTGCGATTTGATGAAAAATTTAGCGAGGAGCAGAGGCGAGCATCAGACTTAGAGGGTAGGGCGTAGGAACGCGCCGACGTCTGAAATGGTGTAGGGTGGGCGGAGACGGCCGCCATTGGAAGAGTGAGTTGGCGCGTGTATCTGCTGATTGCTGCTAGCTTCCTCAAACTAGGTATCACCAGTCACCACACCCCTGTCTGGGAATCTGATGTCTGAAACTTAAAAAAACATAAAAATAAAAATAAATATTTTTATTTTTTTATTTGAACGTTCAACTATTATTATTTTATTTTCTTTAAACACAAATTTTATATCTCTGTCATCTATTCATTTATTACTTTTAATCTCTACTGAATAATTAAATGGCAAATTTTCCGATTCATAAAAAAAACAAATTACCTAAAAAAACCCTACAAATATATTTTAGGACAATAGAAATTAGACGGACGAGGAAGTAGTTGTTTAGTTGTATTTTGACATTTTTTAAATTAGTAAAATTTTATATTAGATAATCCAATCGATTTCTCTATTTTTTATTAGAAGAATTTTCAATTTTTTTTTTTAATTTTAACTCCATTTAAATTCACTTTATTTTTTCTCTAAAAAGAATATTTTAGATATATTCTATATTTTTAAACAATTATATAATATTTATTCAATTTTTATTTATTTACATATCAACTTCAAAAATATTTTTATATGTAATTGAGAAAAAAATTGTGTTATTTTTAATAAACAAAAAATTTGTATAAATTATATTTGATTTGGATTTAAAGTGGGTTATATTCTCATTTGATTCTCTTTCCTGGTCGATTTGTTTTTCAATTTGGTTTTCGATGGCTTCTATGATCCGAAGAGATTTGGTCTTTAGTTTGATTTTGTCAGATATTGGAGGGCTTTGGTCTCCAATGTCAGCTTTGACCTATTTGGATTTGATGTTCTATTTGGACGATTCGAGACTTTGATCTTTGATTTGGCTTTGACGCATTTTGGAGGACTTTGGTCTCTGTGTGGGTGATTTGATCATCAGCTTTGGATTTGGTGTCTTCTTTGGAAGATCCGATGCTTTGATCTTTGATTTAGTTTTGCCGCCTTTTGGAGAGCTTTGGTCTCCATGTGGACGATTCGATCGTCAGCTTTGGATTTGGTGTCTTCTTTGGACGATCCGAGGTTTTGATCTTTGATTTGGCTTTCCCGTCTTTCGGAGGGCTTTGGTCTCCGTGAGGGGCGATTTGATCGTCGTCTTTGGATTTGATGTCTTCTTTAGAAGATCCGAGGCTTTGATCTTTGATTTGGCTTTGCCGCCTTTTGAAGGGCTTTGATCTTTGTGTGGGCAATTCGATCGTCGGCTTTGGACTTGATGTCTTCTTTAGACGGTCCGAGGCTTTGATCTTTGATTTGGCTTTGCCGCCTTTTGGAGAGTTTTGGTCTCCGTGTAGGCGATATGATCATCGACTTTGGATTTGATGTCTTCTTTAGACGATCCGAGGCTTTGATTTTTGGTTTGGTTTTGCCTCTTTTGGAGGATTTTGGTCTTCATGTTGACGATTTGATCGTCGGCTTTGGATTTGATGTTTTCTTTAGACGATCCGCATCTTTGATCTTTGGTTTGTCTTTTCCTCCTTTTGAAGAGCTTCGATCTCCGTGTTGGCGATTTGATCATTAGCTTTGGATTTGATGTTTTCTTTAGACGATTCGAGGTTTTAATCTTTGGTTTGGCTTTACCACCTTTCGGAGGGCTTTGGTCTCCATGTTAGCGATTCGATCGTCGGCTTTGGATTTGATGTCTTTTTTGGACGATCCGCAGCTTTGATCTTTGAGAAAGTGGATTTGGTGCTCCATAACACTCTTAGCGGCGTGTTCCTTTGACTTTTGGATCGAAGAAGGCCGAGTTGATGCTTTGGTGAAGAACGTGATGAACACCTTGAAGCTTTGGGATGAACTTTGGATGTTTTGCATTGGCTTTGATGAATTCTTCAACGATTTTGGAGCTTTGATCCTTGAAGAGGTGGATTTGGTGCTCCATAACACTTTTGGCGGCGTGTCCCTTTGACTTTTGGATCAAAGAGGGTCTGGTTGATGCTTTGGTGAAGAACGCAATGAACACTTCGAAGCTTTAGGATGAACTTTGGATGCTCTTCCTTGACTTTGATGGATTCTTCAACGGATTTTGGAGTTTTGATCCTTGAATAAGTGGATTTTGTGCTCCATAACACTTTTGGCAACGTATCCCTTTGACTTTTAGATCGAAAAGGGCCTGGTTGATACTTTGGTGAAGAATGCGATGAACACCTTGAAGCTTTGGGATCAACTTTGGATGTTTTTCCATAGCTTTGATGGATTCTTCAACCGCTTTTGGAGCTTTGATCCTTGAAGAGGTGGATTTAGTGCTTCATAACACTTTTGGTGGCGTGTCCCTTTGACTTTTGGATCGAAGAGGGACTAGTTGATGCTTTATTGAAGAACGCAATGAACTTCTTAAAGCTTTGATAGGAACTTTGAAGACCTTCCATTGGCTTTTACGAATTCCTCAACGGCTTGTGAGCTTTGATCATTCATCCGGCTCGGAAATACGACGAAGAACGTTAAATTTATCGATTTGTCAACCAATATTGGATCATTTGTCCAAATCAATGACTTTCAACGAAGAACGCTTCGAATGATACGAAGAACATGAAGAACAATACAGAGAAAGTCTACAGGCTTATCCTTTTGTTTGAATCCTCGATGTAACTTCGTTGTCCCAAATGAACTGGCCATGGCTCCTATTTATAGGAGAGAGGTGGCCTCGGCTTCCTTTTTTTAATGGTGTCAAGTGGCGTGTCCTAATTGGCCAACAAGAAGATTTTATAATCTTTCATTTTTCGTTAGATGTTGTTTTCCATTCTTGACGGATTTGATTATGCATCTTCTTTTCTCGTAAAAAATCTTTATATTATTGTCTTTTTTTGGATGATATTAATTTATATATTTCCTTTATTGATAAGATTAATTTATTTTGCGGCCAAATTTATTATGGCTCTATTTATGCACGTTATATTTCTATAATATCTTTCATTTTAAGCAGATTTTTGCATTAATGGTTGATATTTATTGTACAAAAATTAAACATAATTAAATACCATATATTTATTTTATTGGAATTTTATTTTCTTCCAAAATACATGATATTTAATTTATTTAAGCATTCAATTTTCAATGCCTACAAAATGCCCCCTCGAAACTAGTTTAAGCTGACGCAAAGCGTTTAAAGCTTGCATAAGTCTCGAAATATCAAGTCAGTCTATTTTCTTTTGGACTAAAATTTTATTTTTTATAGCTATCTTTTTTTGTATGTTTTTTTAGCCAATATTTTTTTCAAATGGCTTTTTCTTTCTTTCTTTTTTTTGGGACAAGATTTTTTTTTGTCCAAATGATTTTTTTTTTAAGTCCAATTTTTTTTGGACTTCTTTTTTTTTGACATAATTGACTGTACTCGGAGTTATATTCCAAGTTTCCTACGTATCCGGTGAAGGAATCAAGTCATAACGTAGTTCAAAACAAATTGAATTTGTTTGTTTTTGTTAAACAATTTATTCTCGTGTTAAGGAGTCTTGTAAAAAGTTTAACCTCGTTTCTAGAAGATTGGAGAAAGTTTATCCTTGTTTTTAGAAGGTTGTAGAAAGTTTATCCTCGTTTCCAAGATATTGCAGAAAGTTTATTCTCGTTTCTAGGAAGCTGTAGAAAGTTTATCCTCGTTTCTAGGAGATTACAGAAAGTTTACCCTCGTTTCTTGGAGTGGGTAGAAAGTTTATCCTCGTTTCTAGGAGATTACAGAAAGTCTACCCCCATTTATAGGAGTGTTGAAGGTATGACTGCCCCCACTGTTTGAAGTGTTGTATTTCTCGTCTTCTAAGAAATCTTCAGTAGGTAGTCCATCTATTCCACTAGATATCATGCTCAATTCCATATCATGAGCGCGAGTGGCGAGTTCCTCAAAAGTATGGGGTCAGATCCCTTTTAGGATGTATTTCAAGCCCCACTGCATTCCTTGAATGCACATTTCTATGTTAGAAGCCTCGGACAGACAATCTTTGCAGTTGAGGCTTAGACTTCTCCAGCGGTTGATGTAGTAAATTACTGATCCGTCTTTCCATTGGCAGCAGTTAGTGAGTTCGGTCATGCTGACGGTTCTCCTTGTATTATAGAACCGATTCAAGAACTCGTACTTTAATTATTTCCAATTATCTATGAAACCAACCTCTAAGTTGATGTACCAGTCGAAGGCGTTGCCATTTAGTGACCGCACAAATTGTTTGACTATGAGGTCTCCATATGTTCCAGCATCGTTGCATGTCTCGAAAAAGTGTACTATATGTTGCTTTGGATTACATTTGCCGTCAAATTGTTGAAAGTTTGGTGGTTGATAGTCCGTTGGCATTTTGAGGGCGTCAATCCTTCCAGTGTAAGGCTTGGCGTAAGTGTGCATCGGCCTTGAACTCCCTTCGAATTCTCTTTTGATTGCCCCCTTGATGTATTTGTCAAGTTGAGATATATGGATGAAGGAGTTGGATGGTCCTTGAAATTGATTTGGCTCTGCCACCTTTTCTTTGCCATGACGTTGCTCCACAGATGTTGCCGCTTTATTTTGGACCGTTGGGGAAGATGGTTGCTTTTCAATGGCATGATTGGATTCTTCAGGCTTGTCCAGCTTTATGAGAAGTTTTTTGATGTGGGCGTCTTGTTGTTGCATGTGTTGAGACATCCCTTCAACGATTTTAGCCAATGTTGCAAGTTGGTCTTCTATATTTGAAGCATTAATAGTTATCACCAGAGTAGAGCTTGATGCGGTTGAATGACTTGAAATTGACCGATGAGTAGGTGGCATGAAAGTGCCTTTGAAGCTTTGATCTTCCTTGCAGAGCAGACTTTGATCCGCGGTCTTTGGGTCCTCAATATTTGAAGCGTTGGTAGTCATCACCGGAACAGAGCTTGATGTGGTTGGATGACTTGCAGTTTGTTGAGGGGTTAATGATACGGGAGTACTCTTGAAGTTGTCGTATTCTTCATAGAGTGAACTTTGCTATGTGATTTTTGGATGAGTGTGTTCAGAGAACAACAATACTCTTTTGGTCATGCTTCTTGTTGTCATTCCAACATTTGTTGAAACGCTTGAGTTTTTTGATGAGGTGGATGCAACAACTCATTTAGTGGCGGCGGCTT